AATTTCGTGCAAAAAAGTCGGATTGGATGATAACCACAACTTGGCCTGACTCGGGCTATATCAAGTCTGCACTGTAGGTTTTTACTTTTACTGCATCATCGTTGAAACTGTTAAATTCTCTTGTGGATGTTTAGAAATCTTATTGTTCACTATAAAAAATGACGCGGTAATAATAATAAATATGTATTCGCACATAAATTTCGCCGCATACTTTTTCGTGGTTGGATGGTCGTGTCATCAAGGGTCAATCTGTGGTACTCCATTCAACGAAACTTTGAACTTAGTTCACATTGTGGTTGATCTATTTATATAATGATCCATTTTCTAAATGAGAAAATGACTTCGTCTCTCTTAACAATTGTGTGGAGATGTTGGAATTAATGCAAGTTGTTAGTAGTTTGGTCTCACATCACGGATTCATACGTTGAAAAGTATAATGAATAGCAATTAAGGCAAGTGGCTAATTTAAAAATATGAGCATATTTTTTGTACTCTTTACTACTATTACGCAAGCAGAGATTTGCATTTGATGGAAAACCATTTGAACATATCGTATTTAGTGAACTCAAATTATGCGTGGTTGCATTACTCCAAGGTGTGTTTGTCATCTCATAATTTCCAAGTTGAGACTTGAAAGGGCATCAATATATTAATATATCGGGTTTAGTAAACATTTTTGAAAATGCAGAAGCAAGAATTGTCAGTCAATGTGTAATGCACTAAATTTAATATTTTAGAGACTACTAGAGCAATGCAAATATTGACGAGGTGCGCTTTAATGATTCAAGGTCTCAAAATAAGTGTTTGTTAGTTTGAACAATTGCATAAGCGGAATAAATGCATACAGTTAAAATGCATGAACATAAATTCCAGTCACCAATCAGCAACACAATCATTTCAGTAATACTCTTTGTGTTTAATAGTTTATCTTATCTGCCTTCTCAGTCAAATGGCATCGAATATTTCCAGCGACTGGAACTAATACTCAAATGAACACAACACAAGTTCCACAAAATGGCCATAAATTAATGCCTTCAGTCAGAATAACAAAATGAGGGTTGTGCAATGGTGAAGAACGTGAGAAAATAATTTTATGAAAAACCTTATGAGTATTAAGTACGTAATTTATCATTCTGAAACGGTTTTATCCATCCTATTCAGCCTTCAAGCACTTCCTTTGGGTCTAATATTGTCATTGGTTAATGTTGAGATAGAGCAGTGTTCAGTGTTCATGAAATGCGCTGCAGAGTCTGCCGATGCACTTTGGACCATTTATGATAACGAAAACATTCCATAATTTACTCGTACATTCCAAACAGCGATTGTTTAATTGTTCCGTTAATGCCTTATGCGAAGCAGGGATATTGAAGACGGGCCATGTTGACTGGATTCCTGAGATTAAAGAAAGCAAGTGATCTGACGTTTTAAAGTCCGTGGTGGCTTCTGAGAGAGATTTTCAAGAAAGGCCACCCTTCCCAAGTAGAAGTTGCTGTTGACTAAATCGGAATCCCTTTCTAATCTAAATGGAAGTAGACATTAGTTTCTTTACAAAGTTTGGAGGAAAAAAGGAAGGATGGAAACAGGAAGATGCGAGATTACTCATTGCCCTTCCTCAACAGCTCCAACCCGACGAGTTGGCTTGCAAACAGGAAAAATTGAGTTCTGCTTCTTGTAAATGAAGAAGCAACATTTCTGAGCTGACAGTTTTTTTAAATGCAAGTGTTGAATACATTTGTTTGCAGCAATGTTGAACTCCAGATGTGGCACAGCATCACTTTAGACTAATCTTAAGAAAGATATGGTTCGAATTCCACATGAATCTATAGCTAACCGAGTTTCTGTTTATGTTTTAAATTAAGAATTAAAGTCTGACATGGATCGTCGACGTAATGGTTTTCAAATCCATTACGGAAGAAGAACCGGAAAAGAAATTATGTACTTTAAAACACAACTCCTCAGCTCGCTCTATTTACGAATTCTAGTTAAGTCATTCATTGCAGAGTTTATTCAACAAATCTACTTAAACATGAAATACGAATACATTAAATTCATTCTTCTCGGTAATCCTGGTGTTCATAATGTCTGAATATATACATAGATAACAATAAGAAGAATATAACAATAATATTATACAAAATATATGGAATTGCAAATCTAGCCAAGAAAATGTCGAATATGGCAAAGGTTGAATTATAATTTGACCCTACTTAATTACTCACTCTCTCGCTTGTCGTTTTTGCCTTAGATTTCAATCGTATTTGTTTGAGAAAACTCAATTTACTTATTCCGCATGTACAGACATTATTACAGTATATACGACATTCAGCAACATTATAATTTCATAACACATGGATTCCCTCAATTGAAAAAATATAATTATGCGGTGGAGGATTTGCGTGCCCTGTGAATGTAGCAACTACATGGATGTAACCGATTATTACTCGAATTATGTATATGCACCACCCGACGGAGGAAGAAATCCAAAACCACCGACCACCAAAAATTGGCATGGTATTAGTTGGAAACTACACGTAGGTTGATTGGGTATGCAATTTCGTTGGTTGGTGGCGAAGGAAAGGTCCTTCTATTTTTAGTTCATTCAACGGTGCAAAAGTAAAAAGTGAAACGTTTACTTGGCTCTCTAGCAGGCAAAATGTATTTTTACTATACAGCAGCCAACACTGTTCTCATATACCCGGAATCTACTATAATATGCTTCGATGGCGAACTGTCCATGATTAGCCAACAAAGCTGAGCGAATCTGGCTTGTTGTTTTGTTGGGTTGACACATATTCACATTATACAAACAACTAATGATGCTCGATTATCTGTGCCACCAAAGTTGAGAAGAAAGCTTGGGCAGAGAAAGCGACTAAAGCATAAACTGACGAGCCATGGATCTAGATTAACTTGGTGTTTTTGGATGAGTGACGATATAAACTTGTATTTTGCCAGCCATTTGATTTTTGCTACTAGACGGTAAGCATAACTGTGTGGCTTGATTGGGCATTCGCCATATTCCGCCAAGTAGTCAAGCTCCATACTACATCGCTGCTTGTGGGAGGTGGAGGAAGTGGAGAAAGCGAATTTGGCTGTAGGAGAAAATGTGTGCCATATCGTCTGCAGAAACTTGATATCGACCTCACTCACTCCCTTCTCGTGGGTCGATACGGGTCGGCGTATAGGGACAGCACAAGTATATATGGAGGCATGGCTCCGGAGCAGTTGTGTGAAGTGTACACCCGCTGCTGCCTGCTCCTTCCTTCGAAATGTGTAGTCGAGAATGTTACTTTTACTCTTGGTTGTACTTCTGGTTGTTGGTCTGGTGGACTTCCCAGTTTAGATCGCTACCTCGTCGTCGTCGCTGCATTATTACTCAACAAACTTTCCCTTTGCTCAACTCTCCATCCATTCTGATCCTTGCATTCACTCCACCGACCAACCAACCACACGCCATGCATTCATGCCTGATAGCATATTCAGAAATAACAGACAGTTTTTCCTGCTTTTACTCCAGTAATAGGAAAACCCACTAAATTTTGCTTAGGGTACGAATAAGTAAACTTTAATGCACTCTCGCACTCTGTAAAACTACCCGACTTTCCCCAAATGAAATTCTTTTTTTCTCCATTCCTTTGTTGGAGTTCGTAGTTGTAGTTTGCGATGGGGTGCATGTATTATGCATGATGATGATCTAGTAATACCCAAGTTACTCTGAGGAGCACTGTTGATGCGAATCGGAGAGTCGTCCGTTAAGTGGAATGTGATGACTGGCACAGAGAAGGATTGGGAACAGTTTGGAAAGAATTTAGCTGTTGGGTGAGATGGAAAAGGTCAGCTTACGACAATGGATTCATGCTGCAAACTTTGCAATCCAGACCACCATTTATTATTAAGCCAGCGCACGCATCAAACTTTTACCTTAGAGGCAGAGTCGAAAAGGGAGAACACGTCGATGGCGGAGCATGGGTGGAAAGAAAGCTCTAGGATCTTGACTCCATCGCCGCCACTCTTTGAGCCAGAAATTAGATTATAAATGATCCCCGTGCAAGAAAAAAAATATCTTACGCCAAACTCGCCACAATATTTTTGCAATGTAAGCAGGAAGAAATATATTTTCACAACCGTCCGTCTGATGCCCACGAGCTGCGGATATTTACATGTGTACATGTATGTCGTGTGCTTGTGGCATTTGTCGTGCAATTAGAATTATAAGTTATTGTAATATTACAGAGAGTCAATAATTGGTATAACCTTGTTGCAATCACGTTTTTACAACGTGCGCCATATTACACGTTTCGATTTATAAATATACATGTTAAGCTGGTTGCATGTTTCCTGTATTTTTTAAATTTATGAGTTTCAAATCCAGAAGAAAACAGTAGTTGTTGAACATTGGTTTCATAAAAAAAACTAAACTTATGATTTAGTAGCTTTATCGGGAGAGGTCATTATTTGCAAGCTCAAACTTCGACCCCACAACCGCACTAACCAGTCGTGTCTTATGTACATACATTGTGGCTTTATTTCTGACAACTTAGCAAACATATCACTATTTTAGCTCTGAAACGCAGTGACATGTTTGTCGTGTAATGGAGAAATTCGTGGCGCCGCTGTTTTATTCAAGTTTAGTTAACACGAAGACGTAAATACTTTCCTCAACTCTGACGTGAAATTGCAATTCTGTGGAAATTGCTATGTAGAAAACGCATGCTTTTATTTGAAGTTTCTCTCGTTTTAAGCTTGTTTAATATTGTTTAATGGGAGAGTGGGACCATCAAACTAATCCCAACCTAGGAACTTTCTGATAATAAATGCATAAAAATAACCTACATACATAAATATTTAATGATACGAAGCGAAACAATGAGGTTGACACGATACATGACAAATACTTACGAATGACATTTTCTCATTGGGTGAAACATTTTTATGGCTGAGATGAAAGGCATGAAATATATTCCAAAATACAATTTCTCATATTTTCTCATTTTCTGCAGGCCTGTTACGAACTTGAGCGTTGTCTGAAGGAAGATCCATATCCAAGATGTCGTCATTCAAATCCGTCCTTAGCCGACTGCGGCAAAGAGACGTCAAACTCCGTCCGCAACTCCATGTCTTCGTCGTCCCCCAGTAAGCTGAGTGACGAGGAGGACGTGCCCCTGAGGGTCACAGACTCCCCAACGGACTTCCTCCAGAGGGGCCTCCTCGACTTTAGCGACAGTAATGACTCGTTGGACGTTCTCAGCTCCGGCTGTTCCTCACCTTCCACCAACGAGCTAACGGACGTGGACGCCGATGTGATCATAAATGGCGGCGTCATGCTTCATTCCGTGCGACGGAACAAACGATTCTCAGGTAAGCTATGGAATTTTACTTTAAACTCATTCATTTTAACGACAAGCAAACAAGTCGTTAATTAATATGTAGTAAATGGTACGACATCATTAACTATAATTGCGTCCTTATACTTTTTTTATTTTTCAGAACCCACCTTGTTGTTCCATCGACCCCCTGCACTGATTCTAGCCTCCAGTACTAGTAATATTATTAGTAGCACTAGCAGTGTGAGCAGTAGTAGCAGTAGTAGTAGTTCCAGCGTTAGTTCGACAGGTAGCAATAAGTCGTTATCATCAATATCAAGAGTCAAAATTAGTAGCAAACCGGAAGACTGTTCAGAGAAGCGCAGAAATCACCGATGCATGTACCCTGGTAAGACTACACATGACAGATACATAAATATGCATGTATGACAATGACCTGAATTATACTATGTATCGCAGGTTGCAAGAAGATGTACACAAAGAGCTCACATCTCAAAGCTCATGAAAGAACTCACACAGGCAAGAACCAGAATTATTTCCTTAAACTTTATTTATAAATTTTGCCAGCTTTCTCCACTTTCAAATTAGCTTTCTTTTTATGAGCATGTATTCAAGAATCAATCTTTCATGCCGAATGATATGCTTGTGTTGTCCACTCGAGCTAAATGCATCAACTATCCGATTTTTTTAGTTACTGCCAGCTCATCCGGTTAATACTGTACACATTCTCTTGTAGTTTCCGTCAACTTCTACGGAACGTGCTGAGTAATATGATTCAAACATCGATTCAAACACTGATTTGAGCGTTGTCAGCTTTCAGTATATCACCATGAACTGCTAAGAACTGGTTGCAAACGAGGTTAATTTAATTAGAGTCTCGTGAAGCACATGCGACCATTCGAAACCAAAGTTTATACATACCACATCTCGCTCATGGGACGGCTGCATTATTTCATGGCTCACGTGAAATAATTAGCATTTTGTGGATGGTGTATAATTTTATATTTTAATAACAATACCAATATTTAGCATCACACTGATTTTATCCAGACATGGTGACGTAACGACATGCAAATTCTTACCAGTCACTACCCTGTTCCATTGTGCCCTACTCACCTACTAATACTGATTATGAATTGCTGAATACTAAGCAAAATCAAATAATTGTAATGAAAAGTAGGAAACTGAGAGAGTGAGTGAGTGGAATTATAATTCATGTTACGTTACGATGAGAATTAAAGCATACATACTAACTCTTTTAAGTCTCGTAGTAATTGCTCAAGTTTTTAGAAAGTTTGAAACCTTTTAGCATTCGCAATATTATGTTATCCTATCCAATTTACCAACTCGGTTTTGCAAAGTCAGTGTAAACTGGCCAGTTAATAGTTGCAAATTGGAATCGTCCACAAAATGTAGTATCGTATCGATTTTTGTTGCACTTAACTCTGCCCCGTCTTCCGTCTAACTTTGGCATGAGACAAGCATAGCTTTTGCGCATTAAACTCACGATCAGTCAGAGTGAGCTAATAAAAGTTCCGCAAACTAATGTTGACTTTCACTTTTGACTTACGCCATCAGTTACCGTTTACCAAAAATCAGATTCAGTTTGTATTCAGATTTGAAGTTGTACAATGCGGAGACGTGCAAAAATGTATATTTAGAAATATCTTAAACTGCGAAAAACTTTTGCGTTCCATTTGTTTCCCTTTTTCTTCTACACGATATCACAACATGGCTTCAGTTTAGCAATATTAAATTTATGCAGCTATACGACTTGTGTTCCGCAAATTCATGAATATCGAAGTTTGTACAAGATAAGGTTATCAAACGACTTTTTTCCTAGACCGGAGAGAGATTAATATAGAATTATTTAGTACTAAGAATTTCAATAATTCATAAATGTTTAATTAAATTTGGCTTATTCTGTTCTGTTCTTAGAATAAAATTTGCTTTGAACTCTCGAATTGTGGGTAGCGGTATGTGCTTGAAGTGAACAGAAATACATAAGCATGCATTTTATACAAGTGGCGTAATTAAGTTCAAGGGTTAGAGCCAGGCTAACCCTTGGCCAGAAATAAGCACACCTGCTGCCATTACACACTGCTGGTTCGTAGTAATAAAATAATGTAAAGTGACATTATGCTTGAACGTTATTAGTTTACTCTCTCTCTCTCTCGTAGCAAATTTCAAGCAAAAGTAAATGTGTGCCATTCGTGCTAAGTGACTTCCTTGAAGTTCTATGGGCCTCTCCTTGAAACCATATTTACAAATTTGAGCGCTACCATTAGAGTTATTAGTGGGAGAACGATAGATGAATATTTGCTTTCTCAAATATATTAAATATGACGACTCTCAAGTTTCGTACCTACGCACGTAGAAATATCTGCCATGCATGCACCTTCCAGAAACATTCACCTAAAATTGCTTTGCTTTATAAATCCTTACAACTCAATTGTAATCCGCGATTATACACATCTCGGCTCGTATTGATATTTTTTTAATATCTTTTGGATTATGGCGAAAAGGCTCTTTATGAGAAGTCATTAAATACCACGCTCGTTCAACAATTCTGGAGCAAACTCTTGTGAAATCATTTTTGCAGGATTTCGATTTTTCTTATCGGTCGTTAGTTTCCCTAAAACCGTAAATTGCAACATTTACTATGAATTATTTTTGAATGTTTGAATGGAGAATAACGAAACCCGTATGGTGTAGCATTGCCTCTCGTTCCGTTATATCTTTATTGATTCCGTTCCGAGTAGGTATTGATCCACTTTTACCCTGGCTGAATTTGCTGACTTCTGAGTTTACTGTTGGGTAGAATACGCTTACTTGGCTAAAGCTGAATATAGCATTTCTATGTACTTTGCCTTCTTAATAGTGCTATTTTCGTGCGGAAAAGTTAATCTGAGCACGAATTTTTACAAATGGTTTATGTTACAGAACAAGTGGAGGGAATGTGTGTGTACATATTATAGATTTATCCCTGTCACATGCCTCATGCTTTAATATTTTATAAAAACCATGTGAAGAGTGAAATTTTAATCTAGTCCTTTTTCACATTACGCAGGAGAAAAACCCTACGCTTGCAAGTGGTCTGGTAAGTCAAGATCAAAGAACCGATGACCTATGGCCTTCTGGTTCAGTTGAAGAACAATTAAGCTCATTATAATTTTTTGTAACGTAGGGTGTTCATGGAGGTTTGCGAGGAGTGATGAGTTGACACGACACTACCGGAAGCACACAGGTAAAGACAACAATTGGTCAATATTAAGTTTTTTAGGTTAAGATTTCATCCAGGATATGGGTACATATTTATGTACAAGGGTTGAAAGTGGTACAAAATTGATAAATGAACGAATGTAATTTGCTATTTCATAGGAGCTAAACCATTCAAATGCCCAGATATTTCTTGCGCCAGATGTTTCTCAAGATCGGATCACTTGGCATTACATATGAAACGACATCAATGATGTAAATTTTCGCCTAAGCAAAACATTCTGGTCAATTCATTGTTCTCATCATCATCATCCGACGCAACGTGGACCAGTCGCCACAAGATTGAAGAACTTTGTCCTAGTTACACTTATAAACGTAGTAATTTTTTTAATTCGAGGCATTACCCACTGGGTACCATTACCTACCACGCCGCGGAACTAAGCAGTGGCGTCTGTGTAGCAAAGTACTCTCAGCCTTGAAGAACTGATGAGAAGTTCGCCAAACAAGTCAAAACGTCTTCTTGAATTTTCCATTCCAGAATAGAAAGTCCATGTAGTTCAAGTTCAATGTATTGTATCGTAAGAGTAGGAAAAGGAGGAGGCTTCAGAAGAAAACGGTGGTGGGTGGTTCTCAAGAAAACCATATTGTTCTGTTCAAGTGCGTCAAGCAAATCAATGGAGGAGGCAAAAAAAACGACATCAATTACAATACTTCTTGCCTTCCAATATCTGCACCAGTAGTACTGAATTCTAGACTAGAATATTTATTATGCAGAACTTCAATCAAAGTCAAATGCTTACAAATAATGATTCTTTTTGCGTAGACAATTTTTTTATTATACATCCTGAGACTACACTCGTCAACTTTTAGCCGGCTTTTAAGATTTAGAAAGGATAGACAAATATTATCATTAATTTACTTGTGCAATGTTTGTTTGGTCGGTTTTGGTTTTGTTTCTGAAACTCTAAATTGGTTCCTACAAACACCTTTCTCATTCCGTTGTGACTTAAATGCTGACTATTTATCATACTTTAAAATAAATCACCAGGACTTATTTTTGAACATGTTTTAGTTAAATCCTTGATTTCATTTATTTTTATTGTTTGCTATCTCGTTAAAATTAAAATTTTCCCCATACGAAATATTACAACCATGCTTATTTCGTATGCATATCTATATGCATGACATAAATTATCAACATCATCAGTTGCATCTATTTCGTTTGGGTTTTCAACGACTAAATCATAATGTATTAAAATTATGTACATCACTTCAGACATCGGTTTTTTCAACCATCGTGAATGTCCAACGGGTAAGTAGTCTGAAAAAAAATACTCCAAAGTCTGCAAACCCTGGTGAACACGCCTAGTTTAAAATCACACAATAATTCCGTGATCCGAAACCGATGCGCCTGATACCTTCGTTTCAAATACAACACGGCACTCCATTTCTGGTATGAATACATTTATTATTTATTTCTAAATGTACCATTGCATACGTCAGTAAATGCGCCCGACAATGAGCGAAAAATAACTAACTCCGAAGTGATCTTGCATCTTTTGTTGTTTTTCATATACATATACGCTTTTATAGAAAATATAAATTTGACTTATGAAATTCAACCTAACCAAAATTTTTTAAATTGTGCCCATGTTTTACGATCTTTTCTTAAATTTATAAATTTACTAGTTCATTGTAAAAATTAAACCAAACAAGTCATTTTACTAAATATATGATTCTAATTCATTATTTGGAACGTTTGAAAAGTTTACCAGGGCAGTCAGGGCGTGCCCCATATTTCGCAGATAGCTTATCCAATACGCTATCCAAAATCCGAGTGGTTTATCTGTACATGCCATAGCAAAAATTTCTTGGGCGAGCTCAGTTTGCTTTTACGTCTTCCCCATCTTTTGTAAATACACACATTTAAGGGGTAAGATTCCCAAGTGTGAGGCTAATGGGAGTCTTACGTTAGTAAATAGAAAGATGTGCACAATATTGTTCACCACAGAACAGAGGAAGAACAGAGCGGAAGATGACAGAAGAAGTGGCTTCAGGGCTGAACAAATTAGCAATCACTGCTAACAAACAGAATGTTCAACATAATGCTTCTCATGCATCATTTAAGCTTATAATTTTACTGGCGATATTCTACGACTACATACAAATATGCAAATAAATATATAAATACCTAACAGACATGCTGAGATTTATGCAAGAAAAGACTTTTCTGCGTTCTACATACTGGCTCTTCTCTGGTTAACAAATTGAAAATAAGGGTTACTGAAACTCTTGCCAATCCTACTTATTTCACTGCCATTCGTAAATATATATGTAATACTACGCTGAGAAACAGTATCGTAGCTTAACAAATAAATTTTAGCTTATTCATCAAAATAGGAATTTCATAACGTTTCAGGTCTGCGTAGTCAAGTTATTGGTATTAAACTACGAATTTTGACAAAATAACAATAACTAAAATTTTTATTATGTAACATGAGTCCTTACTTCGTTTCCAATAAACTTTCCCATGTTAAGTCTTTCAAGTAATTTCAACGGCATGTTTTGTCAATTAGGTTTGGTTAACTATGTATGCGAAAACAAATGAAATTGCTACTATGGACTTATGTATTAACATGGACGAATTGAACAACACACTTACTTGCAACCAACATATTTATTTCATGTTGGGTTTCTTCTTTGATGAAACAGCAGAAATATTACACGTGAATTGTATATCTGACAAGTTGTGCATAAATGTAGAACGGTGCTTTTATATTAAAAAATGTGTATGTGCAAGTTTGCTAAAGTGTGTTTGTATTTTTTGATTGGGCTTAAATTATGTATAAAATTATAAAAAGGACTATCATGTATTATGCAGCCACTTATCTACTTGTTACTGCATAGACGCCATTCATTTATAAAATTATTCACCGAAATTGCGAGAACAATTAGTTTAGGTAACACATTTTTGAAAGATGAGACGACAAAAATTGATAATCAGTCCTCAACAAATCAGTCATTACATAAATAATTAATGCATATATGTATGTACGTGTATAGTTAGGTTATAACCATCATAGTTTCTCCAAATTCCTAGTGCTTAGGTGTATATCTGTCTCGTAAATTGAAAGTACATAGTTTTAATGATACTGGAAATATTCAATCAACTGAATTTATAATAAGGGCACGAGCGTTGTTATTGTGATTCGCAGCTATACTTTAATCAAATTATTGGCGAATGGTATCATTTTTTAAATTGATTTCCTATTCGGTAGTGTCCTACAAAACAAAATGCTTAATGGGTTTGGTTGGATGTAAAAAAAAGTGTGCATGCATATACTAGTAAATAATATAATTATGCTGAGTGTCACTTTTTGTGCCAATATTTCTTGAAAGACATGCCTCAGATATTTCTATATATGTACGGTCAATGAAGTTGATGCTGGATATGCTGCACGGTTCCAACACCATTGGTCTGATCTCGACATAAGGTGTCGGTGTGAAAGTTGGAGAAATGCTCCTTACTAAAAGAGATAACAATTAGATAAGTCTCGAGTAACATATGGAAACTTATGCAATGATCTCTGAGACTCAGAATTTGAAAATATATAAAAATATCAGAGGCTTATGTGTATAATGAAATTTTGACAAAAATAGGGTTGACTAAAATTTACTCCCACCTTTGACCATTAGGGAATTTTTAAATCCCATGATTTCATAGTCCAGATCATACCCTTTGTCGCTTGCACTTATAAATTTAGAGCTCAGAGTTTATTTTTCTATTCATGATATCGACCGTTGAACGAATTTCTTATTTTTGAATCATCCCTTTGAATATTTCGTGAACTTTTAGACGGATTTTTAGAAGTAATAATATGTGATTTCCGGTAACATTTATTGGTGATGAGACAATCCACTTTATACTTTGTTGCCATTTGCCGGTTCGCTTAGCCAGAACCACTAAACGTACCATTGTATTGATCTCAAAAAGCATATCCGCATTGACTTTCTACATTACGTGAAGAAAACCTTATCCCATTTTTTTGGTGGCCTATTGGCTCTAGACAATCTTTATTTAGCTAATATCAAATTACATATAATAACAGTATAACCTTTATTGTCAGTACTATCAGGCGTAAGCGCTTCTATTCAGTGTAATTGGTAAAAGTAAAAGGTTAAGAGTAGAGAGATTATTAGGATGGAAAGCTGGCAGTAAAATATGCTCCCAACAAATGTATGTAGCGTATGTGCAAACAGTACCCCATTGTCCAACAATGCTTCAAATTAATGTAGGTACTAGCATTATGAAATGACGAGCAGAACATTATTCTCTGTTCAGGACCGATGCAGTTCTTTCAGAAAAAATCGCACTTTAGTTTGGAGTATCAAACCGAATTCACAATTCTCATAAAATTATTATTATTGCTATGCATAATTTGAATCATATCAACCTTTTAGAATGGACAATTTTTTAAAGCAAGTTGGCATTTTTTTAGTTCTCAAAGAGCATTCTAAATCCTTCGATAAAATTTATGCAGGTCTAATCTAGGATGCTTTCTTTGGTGACACTGTAATTTGATTCATCCTGTATTGATACATGCTTTAATTGTTCGGTTAGTATACTCGAAACCAGGATACATATGTAATTTGTGCAGTGGCATTCCAGGTTAGTTTTATGACTTTGTTATCTCATTTTTTTACCAAGATTTTCTCAGTTTATAATTATCTGCATGTTCAGTTATTGGAAATAGCTGGTGACAAGAATAGGATATTCTTGTTATGATATATAGGATTTAATTAAGTAAGGTATGGTCGGTACTAAATTAATTAGAATTTAGCAAAGAAGTACATGGTGTCGACAAAAGTTGTCTGAAACTTATTTGTTCTAATAACCGGAAAAGTTAATAACTTACATAAATAAATGAATACATGTAGTTTGTTTTTTGTTGATTGCGAAATTGCGACATCGTTGGCTTGTGTCAAGTGGGCCTGATGCTGATGAATGGTGCTTGAACAAAATTATATTTTTCTTGGAAATCCTTAGAAGTGTAGAAAGCAAAATCTTACCTGGTATATTACGCGACGACCTTTTATTAGATTACTGAATACGGTTGATCCGACATACGTTATTCGCATTATAATTATTCTTTAAGCATGTGAGTTGTAGTAGATATAAATATTCGATTCTTGAAACCACAATTCGAAAAATATTACAAAATGTGGTTGAAAACCTATGTAGTAAAATCTAAAAAACCATTTGAATAGTCTAACTAAATCGTTCAACCTGGCAATCGCTTCGTCGTCTTGTACGTACGTACCAATTTGTCGAATAGTGAAAAATTTGTTTTGCAGTTTTATGTATGTTTTGAATGCGCAAATGAGAAGATCATTCTGCAGATTTGGTCTCTCATTTGCAGCAAATTAAATAATAATAGTGTTCAAGTGACGCATAGTTTCGACTAGAACCCTCATGTTCAGATACATATGCAGTGAATAAAAGTGTGTTCGGCATAAATTAAAAAAATAGTATGTATGATTAAGTGATTAACTAAATAGGATAATTAAGTGGTCTGCATTGAGTTGTACTTTAAAGAAAGTGCAATTTTCATTAATTTAAAGTTTGAAAAATCGGGAAAATTTTATTGGCATGTAAGAGTTAGAGAAAAAATAAAATGTGTGAATTTTAAAAATAATTAGTGTGTTGCTGTACTCAGTGCTAAATTGATATATGTAATTCCGAGTGAAATCCTTACAAAACTTTTGCGTGGATTTTCTCATACTATGAATACTTAATAGCATTTAATAATGTGTACCTTACTAGAGACATCCAATTGCTATTTGTGGCAAGGAGTGAGTTAAGTCCTACTGATATATTTGTCGATTCTAATTGTTGAATTTTGGATCACTAGCGTGTTGGTTGGTTGTTTGAATGACGGATGATTAATGCTGTTACGTGTTACTGAATTCTGCTTGTTATGCAACTGCAATAATAACTTTTTTAAATTATTGATACAACATCGACGATGGACATCGGAAATTGAAAGAAAGAATGATTTCTATGTGTGTAAGAAGTTCCGATGAGTAATCAATATCTCAAGTCATACTTCCGACTGTTGTTTTATAACATAGAGTGCCCAAAATCTAACCAAGAAGAACGTTTTTCATTGTCATTAATTAAAAGTTAACTTACGCCGTAGTTTTTGTAAAACCAAGCAGTATTGTTTTCCACGTAATATTATTGTTTCATATTTACTTTCTCAGATAGCCGTAGTTTAACCTAAGGACAAATTGCATTGAGTCATGTTGTCTTCAAAGTAGTCAATAAAGTAAAAAATAATGCAGTTAATAATTGTTCAATGGTTTTGATGACATTTATTTAATAAATTTAACTCATGCAAAAAAATATTTATTATTCGCAGTCATACGTCACATGGCAAAAAATTTGTTAGTCATTGTAGTGAGTGGGAAAGTACGACATTTGCATACACATCATACGAGCAAAGTTATTATTGCTTATCATCATCATGTGTCCCACACAATTCAATATCCATATTTCATGTTTTCAGTTGTCGTCCCTCTCATGGGCATATGGTTTCATCAGTCGTCAAGTGGGCATTCAAATTATTTGTTGCGTGGAATATAAATTGTGCACATTCACATTCCGGAAAATTCTTTATTGTACTGCACATATTTATGCAAATTCCGAAAAACAGTGCCATGCACACAGCTACCTAGTTGCTCCGAACTATATGTGTGCGCTTATATTAACTATATTTTGGCATGACACGCCGCCTTCCTGACTCGGCGTGAGACAGCTACACGAAGATTGCATTATCTCATCTCATGAATTATCCATTAGCAAACGTCGGGATGGTTTTTTACACCAAGTACTTATGATGCAGCTTGGAGAACACGGACCCCACCAGGAACGTCAGTTCCTATCTCGTGGATGTAATTATACATATGACATGACATAACACAGTGCCATTAATAAAACGGATATGGTTCCAAAAGGTCAACGATTTTAGTTTTTGTTCTGGAGTGTGCAATTCTTTATTGATAATTGATTATTACTTTTGAATAATACATATGTCACACTTTATCACCACTTTTATTGCAACCATGTGTAAATAAGTTCATCCATACGCAAAGGCAACAAAGCACCAAACTACTTAATAATTATGCTACTTTGCCCTTTAAATGGTTCCAGGTGCACAGGTCCCATCTCCGGAAACAGTGTTCCAACTGGGAGAAGAAAGTCCACCACCACAACTTTTTGAACAATCTCCTGCCAATCTCCAAAGGTAAATAGAAAGACAGAGAAGTAGAATCACAATCACAGCACCCGCAATCATCAGCATTCGCTCGATTCGATCAATTTTTGCCGTTACTTGTTTGGCCACAGAGTCCGTAATCTTGAAACAAGTTCAAACCCAATTTATAGTGGAGAACTCAAGGCGGGTGTGAGAAGGACAAAAGGAAGGACAAAAGACAAAAAAAAATCCCGAAAATAATGAATGCCATCAAGCACATCCTCCTCTTTTCTATCCTTCTCAATTGAAAAGAAAGTTGAACATACCTTTCTCTCCAAGTCTTCCAACCCGCGTCGGAGTCTTTCATCATTAAGAGCAATCGAGTTCCCAGCAGCTCCCGGTCCCGTATCTCCTGGTCGTGCGTCAACAGCAACATTTACCCTGTACGTCTCAAATTGTGTCCCACTGTGCAGTATTTGCTGTAAAAATTGGAGAATTCGAGAAAAATGTGTTATGTGTGGACTAACGAGGACAACAATGTAGGAGAAAGCTTATCGATCCTTGTGAAATGAACAGACTCATCCTGCTGATGGCTTGTTTAAATTTAATAAATTGAGCGGAAATAATACAGCTTCACAAAATTTAATTTGCATCGATGTATTACAAAGGGGACGGAGAAAGGCGAGAAATTCGAGCCAAAAACGGGTTCAACTCAAATAAACGCCTCTCTACGAAGAAGCTCTGTCTGCTGCTCTTTGAGTTGAGGTCTACGAGCTCAAGATTTTCTCCCGGACTCTGATTCGATCACTTGGCCAAAAGCCATGCGAAATGGTGTAGCCCATGTACCATTAACTTTCTCGACGGCTTAGATATCTCTACGGCATCAAAGCAGCACAAAACTACAAAATAAATGGAAGGGTTCTGAACTCAAGGGACCTTGCCCTTTTTACTCTCGCTCGGCCACGCTACATTTTCAAAGGTGAAGACTTGACCAATTAATTTCAGAATTAACTTACCCGAAAATTGTGTCCCAAGTCATTAGTGTTTATGCTGCTAGACTTGCTTTCTGTAGAGGGCAACATATTTTGAGGAATTATAGCAACTTGTACTTGAAATCGGTCCTTGGTCATTGTCGTGGCTGAGACTCCCGAGTGGGTTTCAATGCTAACACATCCTTTTGCATTTCGATTCAGTATAAATATTATGGGCTTTACTCGATACCGTTCTGGAGACGTGGTCTTAATCTATAAAATGGAAATGCAATTTACATATTTAGTTGTCTGCACGGATTTCCGTTAATTTCCGAACCAGAATGACACCTGTCTTACCTTAATAATAAGCGCATCTCCATTTGGTGATATATTTTTTACAGTTAGCTGAGCAATATATTGATCATCGGCGGATTCGCTGGGTCGGAACACAACGCGATCTTCGACATCTACTAGGCAGTTGTCTAATAAAGGCAATGGATCAATTCAGGATTAGTTTGATATATGTAAGCAATGTCCAGACGGTCTGTTTTATGTGTAATTCGGATCAAGGTTTTAAATTTTACTGCTATTTGGGGTCGTACTTGAGCTGGAATTCGGAATTGGTGTGCCACCACCAGAAGCTCTGTCAGGACTGAGGTCGGAGTAATCAATCTGATGGACTTCGGTACTTGTTCTTCCATTTCCTGAAAATTGGGCCTACATTAAAAGTTTTAAGATTACTTGGATGAGAAACCATGAGTGTTTGAGTACCCTTTTTGTTGTTTTTAATGTGGACCATAATTCTCCCCATCATTTCTCAACAGTATAAAATTATTTTTCATCTGATGCAAAACAATTATTTAAGTATGATTTTAACTGTTTCTATTGATTGAGAAAAGCAACTGGTTAACGAGACTTTCAGATAACAAACTAATGCCAATTAGCACTAACTCAATTAACTGAGACTACGAGTATCTTAGGAACCAGTTTCTAGAAATATCAAATTAACTTAAGATCGGTGATCAATTTATCTGGTATTCCGTACTACCACATAGCAATTCTACAACTTATTACAACTACATATCTAAAGAATGACATATTAATTTAGCAGATGCTCTGAAAATAAATAACTCTTTTTCATCAGGAGTGTAGGGATGCCAACTTCGAAATCCGTTTGTATACTTTCACATGTAAACCCGAATTTCGTACAAATCTGATTTGCATGTTAAACTATGCAAACAGATCTCGAGGTTGACATCCCAATTTGAGGGATACACACTTTAATGTACATACAATGCATGAAAAATGCCGTCTCACCTTATTGTTCTTTGCTTTTGTTTCCATCCCGTTTACATTCATTGAGTTATTGTTAACATTTCGCCTGGATTTTTTAGCCGGCTCAAACTTGAACACATAGTTGTCGGTTCCACCCCATTCGGCAAGCTGATTATCAAGGTCTATATAGTCCTTCAGTGTCTTTTTGTCCTGGAACTTGACTCTGTCTACGAATTTTTCGGGAAGCCACGTCTTGATTATCTTCCAGGCCGCTGTATTTTTTATATAGAAAGATAAAAGTTGCCTTGCTATAGTGCGACATGTATATTTACAACATCGCCCTCCGTATTGATCTTCCACCCACAAGGGACAAAATCAAAACTTTAGAAAGCGCTATGGTCGATATGCATCGCACATTATTTAAAAGGAAAGTGAGATGGATTGCGACGACGTCGCGTGTCTTTGTATAGATCAAGGCAATAATATTAGTCACTCACTCCTCTCTCGTCGCCTTTTCGCTTTCTCTTTCATATGCTTTATGATATCGTAATATATACTCAACTTCATACTATCTGCTTGACAAAATCCATCACTACCACTTTCCAGAGCAGAAATTGGAACTCCATTTCCGTCGGCTTTGGTGGATCTAATGAGACTGAATTTTCATGGGAAACCTGGTCTCTTCGTTTCCCATCTACGTACACAAGCTGACTCTGATCTAATTCGCTATCTATCGTGCTTTTGCATGCACCTACTTCACCAGAACCCAGAGAACCTCGTTGTACATTTTTAGCTGCCAATGCGGATCAGTGAAATGTTTGAAATTCTGCTTGGTACATATACTTCAATGGTGCTTGATTTTTAAGGCTCTAGCTAGTGGTGACGATTTTCAGATTTTATTCATCCCTTTGTGGAAGCGCTTTCTCGCTTTTGAATCTAATGCATATTGAGAAGGGCATCGCTATTGATCGTGTCCTTAGTAAATTTCCTTCTCCCGTCTGACTGGCACTGACAACTGACAACTCTCCTCTTTTAATTTATGCCAACCTTCATTCGTCATTGCCGATCTTTACCTGTTTAATCTATCTTGGTACTAATTAACTTCGAAGGAGAGGTTGTGTCCTATTAACTCACGGATCTCGATGCCCTTTGGTTATGTTATAGTGACCTATGAATGAACAAGAACCCCCAAGTGGTTTGATTCCATGGCCACATTAGCCCTCACCACACCCACTCAGACACGCCCAAAAAACGGAGAAAGTGCTAAGGAGGAGAGGTTGTGTACTATCAACTCACGGATTTCGATGCGCTTTGGATAAGTTGTAGTGCCCCATGAGTGTACAAGAACCCCCAAGTGGTTTGATTCTATGGCCACATTTGCGCCCGCCACACCGACTCAAAGGTACCCAAAAAACCGCTTTCACTCCAGCTTTCACTCACTCAAATCCACGCCAAAAATCCAATTTTACTCGGATTTTGAAAATCCGTACCATTATACTCCCAGAGAGTTGTTTTCTTATATCCAACATCTTACTCAACTTTTTAATGATTATTTCGAAGACATAATTTGCGTTGTTTACTACTACAAGAACGCATTCAGAATTTTAAATTTTAAAAATACGAAAAATTTCAAAAATGTTTAGTTTTATGTTGGATATAAAAAAACTATCTGGGAGTTTAATGGTGTACGGAATTTCAAAATTCGAGTAAAATTGAATGTTTGGCGTGGATTTGAATGAGTGAAAGCGCTACTTTCTCCGTTTTTTGGACACCTTTGAGTGGGTGGCGGGCGCAAATGTGGCCATGGCATCAAACTACTTCAGGGTTCTTGTTCATTCATGGGAGACTACAACATATTCAAAGGGCATCGTGATGCGTTAGTTGATGCTACACAACTTGTTCTCCTTAATGTTAGAATAGCTTACATTTTTATTGAACGTGTGTTATCTCTGATGATTTGCGACATTTGAATAAACTCCAGTAAATAGTACATACCATTTAAAAGCCACGGCATGGACAGGATAATCAGCTGAAATTCGAATTAAAACTTGTTTCAGTCCTTTCGTTAGTATTTCAGATCGAATATCTCCTCAAAGCTTTCAGTATCGGATTAAAAGTTCATTCAAAATGCAGAAAATTCTTACATAGTTCACAAAATACGGGTAATATGTTTTAAGCAATGTGATCAGGTATCTAACAAAATCCTAAAAACAACAATAAAATGATGGATAAGCTATCGTTCATCTTAAGCGATCAGTTATGTTGAAGTATTTTACCATGTCCATGTTATTCCAGCCGGTATTTGTCATGTCGAATATTATGGAAATCTGATCGCTATTAGATTCTCTGAAGGATAAAAAATTATGAAATGAATTCAATCCTAAATGGATAAAGATCATGTTTATTTGAGAAATTTATTTAATCGATATGTCTATTTTTAATTAACCCATGTTGGTATCACCAATCAAGGTTTACATTATTCAAAGCTTTGAGTAGATTGTCTAATACGAAAATATCCACCCAAAATCAATTTTTAACGATACGATTTTTAGCAATATGAAATGCTAAACCACCAATAAAGCTGCCCTTTGACCGTCATATCATCATCTGATACTACTAAACTTTTCATATCGAAATATATATATGATGTTCATATTCTTGTTTTTAGCCAGAGGCAGACTCAATAAGCTTATTTCAATTCACAGAGAATTTTCTTCTACCCGACATCTCTATAGTGCAGACTTTCTAGGCAAACAAGAAAGGACACAGTCTGGCTGGGTATATTTAGAGGAAGGCTGGGCTTAAGCCTCGGCACACAGGGATAACATAATGGAGGACTTTAGCAGGCGGACATGACAGGATGGAGAAAGTAGAGCGAGAAAAAAGAGTCAACTGTATCTAATAGTATTTGGAGAGAAAGGGAAGTAGTTGAGCAGCGGGTGAGCTCGTTGGGAGGAGGAAACAAGTGGAAATATTGCAATATTCTCTTGTATTATTGCAAAAGTTTACAATGTACTCGTAGAAGAACACCAAGTAAAAGCAATTCCCTGCATCGTGCTCAACTATTTATCTACGGAACGTATTGCCTACCAGACAACATCACGATTTTGTATTTTCGGCTGAGAATGTAACTGAAGAAAAAATAGGCAACCAATACTTTCACTTACTTTTCAATACTCTCAAAAGCGTAAACCACAAGTTTTTGGAGCTGTTCAATCTCCACGCTGCCTTTGGTGTGGTTCTGGGCCTTAAAAACAAGGAGTTTTTTCCCCCACTTGTCCTTCCCCCTGATAAATAAGACTCCCTTCTCCAACAGGTCCCTTGGAATCTTGGTGTCGTCCAACTCTAATGAAAACATTAAATTAAGAGATCTCTTAAGTTCTAGATCTGATGTATAAATTGACTTTCTCCTGGTTGGATTTTACAAAATGTGCATGTCGATTAGTATTATGGATAATAGATCATTAAATATATGTATGCATGCATATCGTTTGATCACAGATGACCAAAACTATTTTTTAGATAAAGGAGAGCAATTCCAAACTGATTTGTTTTTATGTGATTTTTTGTCCACGTTTCGAATATAAAATATCATAAAATATGCAGCTAGATCCCATCTCACAATGCTTTAACATTATCCTGTTTTTGGAACCTTGAATAGCTCAACAAGGCAGACCGACATAAGCCCTCAAATCTAACCCTTTATGAGGAAAATAGCCAGTCATCATCAATAGTTTTTGAAAGTTTTACTCTTCAGAATCAAACCCTATATTTACTCTTTTCAACGCTTTCCTTCATTGTGTTCAATATACATAAGTGGAGTTATTAGCAACTTACTACTTATGTACATACACATAGCGCACATGTATGAATGCACGCAAATGCATAATACTACACCAAAAGAATGCTTTCTCAATTGTAAAGTAGGCACTCTCATCTCATTAACTCCGCTGTACTCTGCTATTTGACGATAGCACAAGAGGTTCTAATTTACCTTAATTCTGGCAGAATCTTCCCCATTCAGGAGGCAACAATGCGTGGAAACATCAATACCATACCCCAGCAAAGACGTATGATCCCACAACACTTTTCCATCAGCAAGCTTTCAATGGGTTGAAAGGGATTTATGAGATGAGAGCACTGACATATCGAGTTAACTACTCCAGTCGAGGATGTGACCTCCGGACGGAGTTTATGATAAAATTCTATGTATAATTCTCCCAGTGCTATATGCATATATAGTAGTGCTTCCGGTAGACTCAACTTTCTAGGAGAAAAATAATATCGATCTGAAAACTGGAATGTTATATGTATGTATTTATATGATGATGATCAATGGATGACAAATGTGCACATCTCTTTTTTGGATTAATGTCAACTTGTCGTGCTTGCAATAATTTTGGAACTCAATTCTGGAAATATATAAGTATGTACCAACAAGTACTCAATGTGAAAGTGGCATAGACGTCAATGCGTTTAGAAGACAAAAGTCTATGAAACAAGTCACAGATCCAATTTTTAGGAACCAATTTTAGTCCGTCGTATGTAGAAATCATCGAAAATATTAAATTTTTTCCTTATGTCAGAATCAATAAGGAATACGTATATGTCTGAAGATAAAGACAGCATATGTAGCATAATGAGATGAAGATGACTGAATACTAGTGGGGAGAAAGAGAGAGAGAGGTTCTCTACTTCCGTCTGACTCGTCCGTCTTATTTTGACTTTAGCTTCAGACTTTTGTGTCAGAAAGGAGAAAGTTAGGATACAGTGCTCTATTATTGATATTGGCTGACTCCCTGTGACATCTCTCACTGGTGCAGCGATAAGACGCCAGGTCTTGTACGGAAACAAGTCTCGCTTCCACCAACTAGTCGTGCTACTCCTGCATGTATGTGATCATCGATTTCCCCATTCCCACAAACAATCTCGTGAATGAAGCAAAGTCAGCGTGTATAATGTTGCTTAAAATGAGCATCCCTTGGTCTATCTATGCAAGTCTATAAGAGACAATCAGCGAATTTGAAAAAAATTGAAAAAATAAAAATGCCCCATAATATTTATATATCTAAAAAGAATGACGGCCAATTTCTCCAAGAATGCAGAGTTATGCAAGTATTCAGATGGGCAAGGATTAATTCTTCATTGAATGAAATGATGAAATAAAAAATCTCAGTCACAGTACAGTTCGTCCCTCTGATAAAAAGTTGAATGCCCATGAAAATATTTAGAAGGACTGAAATTAATTTGCGAGATTGATTGAAAAGACTTACCGTTTGTTCCAAAGTCTTTTCTCTGAAACATAAATGATCAAACTTTAGTTCGAACCGTATCATCACATAATTGAAGGGCATACCCATTGACAGCATTCGTACAGAAGTGTGCTGGCTGTGTCCATATTGGATTCGGCATGTGCTATGAACCTTCGCATCCACATTTCATCCGATTTCACGCGCTCCAGGTCATTAGGATGAAAACCTATTTATTTTCAATAGAATAAATATATAACATCAACATTACAACATTCATTTCTCTCCAAAGTCCTTGTACTTGAAAGGAAAATTCATTCGTCAACTCTGATTTGCGCACGGTGGGTGGAGAACCAAAATATAAATAAATAAATTGTGTTTCGCAGAAGAGAAAAGCTGTTCAGCTTTGCTGTTATTTGAATATATGAGCGAAATGGGCTCCCAAGTAGCATATTTAGTAGCATAAAGAAATTATTAGATCTGAAGGACGCATGAGGGAAAACTCGTCTGATAATTCTCCCACAAAAGCAACATGATCCACGAGAAACTGATTCTCTCTGATGCATGCAACTCAACTGTGGTAGTAATTTCGAGGGAAAGTTAAAGATAGGCACAAAGAGACTCATTTTGTCTCCGAAAATAAATTTGGGCATCTTCAATTCAACCAACCTGGCGACTGAGAGGCAACTTTGTCATCGAAATTTTTCCTGAGTGTTGCAATCTGTTGCGGAGTGACGGCATTAATTTCTTCCATCTTGGCGTCAGCTTCACTTTGTTTCAAGCAACAGTTGTAATAGTATTATTATGATAAGCCTGATTTTAAAATGAATTTTTCAGAAGACGACGAAGAAGTAGAAATATTAGCTTGAAAAAAGGCTTTTCAGAGTTAACAATAAGAAGTTTCCACGTTTTAATATTGTTGAAAGGTTTCTATCAACGGCAATTGGTTCAGCTTGCTTTTTTCAGTCGTGTACATATATAGCAAGAAATACTCTTTGTAGTTGCAAGTCGAGTCAATCACATCCTTTACGTCTAATAAATTCTATCGACGAAAGACGCTTTGGAATTCATGAATGTAGATTTAAAGACCTAAGGCAGGCATTCCGCTAAGTCGGACTCCGTTTGAGCACAGTATCTGTCAAGGGTGATCCTCGATCGTAAAAAGGAAAATAAGCAATTTGTACAAAGCCAAGTTGTAAAATAGTGGGCAATGTATCGTGTGTGTGTGTATGGGAAGCTCCTCCTCGAGAAATCAAGAAGCAGCGGATCTCGGTCTCGTTTTCCAACTTTTAATATAATGACATGAACATGGAATGCGAGTGAAGTTTGTTCAGAATGTTGTCTCCTGCTCCGCTTGGCGTGTTTCTCGAGAAAGTCTGGGCTGGTGAGAGTTTAGTTTCACTCCACTCCAGCAGAATCAGTTGTTGAACACGTTGAACTGGAGGAGAAAGCAATGGACGACGACGACTGGTGGTGGTGGTGAAGGTTGCTTTTTGTAGTCGGACGGGGAAAGTGGAACGGGCAAAATGTAATAGTTGGTAGTGGCTGGCAGTTAAATGTGCGTTGGCTTTCTCTACATATTTCTCTCTCTCTTGCATTCAAAGTCTGATGTATTTTGGTACTCGGGAGAGAGAAATTTGGCACAAGTTCCCAAAAGTTGAGTATTCTGGGACCTCTTCTGTCTGTCTGTGTGTGTGTATGGCAGTTTTCTACACTTTCTCCCAACCCAACGCAGCTCTCGTATTAAGTTCTGGTAGACACAACGTTGCTTCTACAATCTATCTACATCTGCATGAAAGACTGTATTTTCCACCGGGATGGAGGAGTGGTGGTTCATATCTTCCTTTCACAATGGTGGACAGCCTTGGAGGATGGTTGGTTCAAGGGATGGGAATCCACTCCTATCATAAGATCGATACGACGAGCACGGAAACACGGCGTAAAATTCCTTTCTTGTCTCTGCCTCTGGTTATCTTACAAGAAAATGGCAGTCCTACTACTCCTTTCTCCGGCTTGATGAAAAAGAGGACGAGGTCAAATAGGAGTACAAATCGTAGACATAATATCCAACTGTCTATTCTTCTGCGGTTGTGGTTACATAGACCGAGTTCCAAACTAGGAATTTATCCTTCCAGCTAGACTCCCCCCAAAATGGTTTGTTAAGTTATATATATAAGCACTACACTTTGAGGGTGGGAAGGATTTATTTTATGGACAGTGTTTGGCAGACGCGGATGTCAGAATTACTGAGATTTTCTCCTTGAGCAATCGAGTTCCTAAAAATAATTCCTTAACCGGTAGATGTTGAGTTGTTGAGCAAGATTAATTGGTCAGTGATTCACGCTTGTACTGTGTTCAGAACAGGATTTTCTGTCCACAAGCTAAGAGATAATCACAGATATATACTGATTGATTGATTGATTTCTGTTTTACGTTCCCCTGATTGATTCACACATGGAGACGATCACATGCAAGAAGAGCATTAAATTTTTGATTAACCCACAAGCTCACTTCTACAACTTTAAAACACTTGATCAAGTAGAATGTTGATACAGTAATACACCGTAATTATTCAGAGGTGCGATGATAATTTGACGGTTCCTCGATACCATTGACAAAATTAGTTCAATTCATGCATCACGTATATGTACAGATCATTAATCTAATTGCACAAATTGCAACACTTGACGTACTTATCACACGAGGTTTGTAGCGCCCATTTGATAGCACTTGAGTTGAACTGTTGTAAAATTAAATACTACAGATAAGGCTGGTCTGCGAAAGACAGGCAACAAACCAGAGCTATCGTAGTGTTTGACAGAGATAGTAATAAATATTTCACCATTGGAATGCTGGACTTTAACTTGAACACACTTTCGACTTTAATGGTATGTAAGATTCTGTCATTATCACTTCTCTGACATTAAGTTGCAACGAAACTCTAGATAATACAGAACTTTGAATACTGAATGAATCTGTAAATGGAATAAGAAGTAGGGACAATAATATTTGTACTGCTTTGTATCAGTTCATGTACGTATGCAACGCGTCATCATGACTCGATAGACACACATTATTGTGTTTGTTCAACTCGTTGATAAATGCTCTCACCAAAAAACTTAATGCTCTATATTAACAATACGACTAACTGACTGTCCATCAAATGGAACGAATCGGGCTCCAGTGAACTTTGGATGTGGATTGATATTGACTGTTTGTTTTGTAATTTCGTACGAATACATTCGTGGTTCGTAGAAGCTTGGTTTTATTCGGGGAGCTATGTGTGTGCATAAAGCCATGAGTAATGATTTTATGTTCCTATTTCAACCTATAAAAATATACTGCAACATATGCGACAGCAACAGCTTTTGGGATTGGTTAATATTATGTGTATGATGTCCCTTACAATTTACTGTTCTAGAGATACATACTTATTTCACAATACGGTTCCATTTAAATATTGTGTTACTTATATAAATACATATCTTGATAGCATGCGACCAAAATAACTATAACGCTTAATGAAGATATATGTGTGATGTGTAAATACACACGTGATAACCAACTATAATCACTTCAATATATTTACAGCACGCATCGTGGAAGTAAAATCTCCCTTAGAATAAAATAAATCACCAGCATTTTTGGGCATTATGTTTGCATTTGACTCAATCATGAAATAAGGCGATTCATGTGCTTCTTCTTGCGATATGTAATGTTAACTTATACGATGTGTGTAAATCTCTCAAGGTTTACGTTGGGCATGTCTGTCACGTAGTATACACACGGAGTCATATACATATGCAGTAAATCAATACAAGTGAGACTAGTATTTACCAAATCATCAATTGAGTTGGTTAACGAGATCAGATCGACCAGTCAAGGCTATCTGCATAGAATGGCCTATTCTCGACTCAACGCTGGACGACTGCACAAGATTTAATTTGAGTGAACTAAATAATAAATGATTTCCGGAAATGTACGGCATGCACTAAAAGCATTTTATCATGGAAATGAACCAAGCTTTTATTTATGAGGCTTTTATCTTTATTAACGATGCTATATTGCAACCTTTCCTTAAGAGCTGCTGTTAACACAACCAACTCGACTCACAGATGCGCTATTTATCACTACAAAACTCCAGAAATAGGCGGAATATAAACCATGAAATGATGAAGAGGTATATGCACATGTGGTGTGTTTCTCGGAGCAGATGGCTGTTTGACATTTAGTGGAGAAAAGCTGCATTTCTCCATTAGCTAAAACCCCCTTGTCCCACACAACCACTGCAATGTTCGTACCAGGACAATATCCACGCACGGAAGGTTAAACGGTGGCATTCATTCGTGTATACAACACGAACTTTACACGTTAGCAACATGCACATATCAATATCAGGAGAATCTACTGAATGTACAACCAAATGGCTCATCTTGTGCGAGTGAGCTATGCATTTCCTGGCCTGGTGGAGGAAACTGCTTTGTGTGGAGAGAGGCAGCGGTGGTGGTTGAGAAATTGATTGACCTAAATCCGAAATCGGGTAAATGGGAAAGGAGGCCGAGCGAGGTGCTCGCTTGGTGTGCGACGGGACCACTCCGATTCCTCGTATTCCTCGTCGTCCTGGGTCCTGTTGTGGTCGTGGTGCAAGTTCTGGGGGAAAGTCGTCAGTTGTTCGTGGAGGGAGGTGGTCAGAGTGAGACGGTGGTCAGGTCAGATCGTCTCCTAGGTCCAGGTGTGGTTTGCACAGGGTGTGTCTGGGGGAGACAGAAGGTGGTCAGCATCGTTTGTGTGTCAAGGACGGGGTCATTCATTATCATTACATATCATTATCAACGTACAAGTGACAACAGGTTAAATCATAGCAAGGTTGAACCCAAGTGACTCCATTACTGCAAATTAATCCAGGTGAGACCCATTACAGTTAAACAACTCTCAATATCCATTCTGTATTCCCTTGACCTTGAAGCTGTGTTCAAGGATTTTATGTGAAATGCCATGAAATGAGCCGTAAAATGTCAAATAATTATTTTTATAACATGTTATTATACAACTATGTATACTAGATATACAACTATGAGGCGAGAGTGGTTAAAAATGAGAGGTTTCTCATGTTGGTCACCAATATGAGATGATGGCAGGAAAGTGAGAAATCAATATCAGACTCACAAAACAAACCAAAACATCTGAAAATACAAAAAAATATTCCTGACTTGTAATTATGTATATATTTCATGGAATATTGGTATAAAGTGCATACTTATTTTCCTGAACATAAGATAAGTGAGATGGACTTGGACAGGTAGGGTTAATTACAAAATTTATTCAATATACACTTATCCATTATTTCCTTTTTCAGTTATTACTCTTCTACAACATATATACCTAACAATCGCAAGTTGGAGAAGGCAATCCGGTCAGCAATGAATGACTGGACATTCAAAATGTAGCACATGCAAAAATTAGTCTGAGCACTTGCACCCCCAGACGAGTGAAAGCATGAGTACTAACAACCGGTGGTCGCGGGCTCAGAAGATGGGTGACTGCAAGACCTGTTTGTGTCGAATATCTCCTCAGAAAAATAGGCCAGAAATTTCCGATGGATCTGACGAAGAAACGCCCAACATCAATGGAGGTACGTAGACTTATGTAACTACCAACTATCTATATTAAATGGCATTGATTAATTGTACATACATAAATTAACGACAGAGCTGTGCGACTCCCAAATGTCGTACTCCCTATTGCGTACGCTCAAGTCGATGAGGGATGACGAGTCTCTCTGCGATGTGACCATCTGTGTTGGAGAAACACCCACTTTGGAGAAATATGCAGCTCATAAAATCGTTCTTGCTGCTGCTTCGCCATACTTTCGGTATTATTTTATGTCCTCCACAATAATACAGTTCGGGAACATATTTAAAAACAATAAATTTCACAATGTGTAGAAAAATGTTTAGCTGCGGATTTCGGGAGGCTAAAAATGGGCACGTCAAGTTTCACGATATGCAACCACAAGTTCTGGCAGCAGTACTAAACTTTATTTATACGGGGAAAATACAGGTACTTGATTTAAGGGAATTGTGTAACTTCTTAAACTGGAGCATAATAGTAACGTGACGCTAAAAATCGTCGTCAATTTCAGATGGATGAAACAATCGTGGATGGCCTACTAGGTAAGGAGAATAAGTAGGCTAAGGTTTGTTTGCCGATTAAGCTAAATATCAAGTTTCAATCGTTTTTATTAGATGCTGCAGATCTTCTACAACTGCCCTCACTGCGAAATTTGTGTCTGTGGTGGCTTACGAATAATTTGAGCGCCTCGACTTGCCTTGGGATTTATGTGATGGCTCTACTAAGGTCCCATCTAGATTTAGCTGAAACGGCAAAGTTGTATGCTGTAGACCATTTTCGTGATGTAATGCAAGGAGAAGAATTTCTTCACATTTCTGTCGAATACTTGATTGGGTTTCTAGATGTTCCATTTCTTGCTTGTGATAATGATGGACAATTGCTGAACGTAATTACAAAAATATAAAAACATCGTACAACCAATAATATTATATTAATGAGTTTGACTGGTTTTTAATTTTTAGGGTCTACTCGAGTGGGCAAATCACGATCTGGCTGAAAGGAAGACATTCATGCGAGAGTTGATAGGAAAACTGAATCTGGAAGAAATTGCTCCTCAAGTGTTGATTGAAGTTATTCATAATCCTGCAATAGCTGGAAATTTGGATCTAGAAAAAGAAATTCGGGACTCTTTAACGAATGTTCTGTCCAGAAAATTTGATGATACGTCTGAATTGGATGAAACACTACCACGGCATCATGTGGCAAGATACTATAATCAGCAGAATGTAATTATATTTTATTAAGCCAATATTGTCGGTTAATGAATATGCATACTACGAATATTTAGGCAATAAAATAATAAAATTTGTTATTTGTAATTTGTAGGTCATTTTGGCAGTAGGTGGCGAGTCTCAAGGACAGAGTCTAAGCAACGTAGAGTGTTTCATGATGGGCATATGGAAATGTAGCATTCCATTCGAAAATGGGACAGGAAAGGATTTTTCCGACGTCGCCGTGATACCTACCATGAAACAATGTAGATTTTACGGTGCTGTCGCCAGTCAAAATTATAAAATGTATGTTGTAGGTGGACAAGATTGTGGTAAGTACAAAAACTCGATACCATCCATAGTTTCCATGTTTTCCTACAATCAGACTTTTGCATTCGTTTCTATTACCGCTATTTTAGGATTTCCACTAAATATTGTCGAGCGGTATGATATCCTTCAAAATCGGTGGGAGACTTTATCACCCTTACCAGTAAGTTGAGTCAGAACAAGTATGCATACATACAACTAGACAACTGTACATCAATCAATGTTTTCTTAAGGTTTCACTTCATGGTTGCGCAGCTGCTTTTGTAAATTCACGTTTGTTTGTCATCGGTGGAAGAAGTTCTAAGCAAAATGAAAATTTAGTTTGGGTACGCGTACACATTCGGAAATGACCGAAAATGGACTCGTAATTATATTCGAATATTTGCAGGTCTACGATGAGAAAGAAGACTGTTGGCAAGAATCGATACCGATGAAGCAACGCAGGGCACATTTGGCAGTTGCAGGATTTAACGGAGAACTTTTTGCAATGGGTGGAATGGGTAATTTTTAAATACAATCTCTTTAAAGAGTGGTATCGTTACAGGATTATATGTATGTACATGTATTACTCCTTGTTGGCTGTAGGTGGAAAACATGAAACGGATGATGATTTTCTTAACACTGTGGAAAAACTTGATTTGCTAACCAATACTTGGACAACACTGGCTCCTATGCATGAGGATAGGGCTTTCCACAATTCGGTATTAGCAATACATGCACATATTTCAGAATAAAATTCAGCAGCAAAAAAAAAATAACGGAACTTTCATTTACTAATGTTTTCTATTTGCCAGGCTGTTGTAGATTGCTTTGTGTACAGTATTGGCGGATGCGATGGCAAAATATGGCTAAGAACAGCAGAGAGGTATTATTACACGTACGACTAGTTTTCCTTGTTAAAATGTGTTCGTCAATTATGTATATTGTTTAAGATACGATACCATGTGTGGACAATGGTCAAAAATCAGCAACATGAGCATTCCAAGAAGTAGCTTCGGTGTGGCAACATCTAATGGACGAATCTATTGTGTTGGGGGATTCGATGGAGTTCACTTTCTAAAAACGGTTGAAAAGTATAATCCAAGAACTGATCGGTGAGTTAATGATAAATCTGTAGATATGATTAAATTTTATAGCCCTTAAGGTCATGTACATTGTTGTCTACAGGTGGCACGTTTCATGTAGTATGCAAATAGAACGGCATGGCCTCCATGTAGCAAGAATTTCCCTTCCATTGAAAACATCAAATTCACCTAATGAGTACTCCTGACCACAACTGATGTTAGAATTTGGAGAAAAGCTGGAAGACATATTTTCACCAATAGCTGATGGACGAAACAGGCGAGGGCTGTTTCCATTTCAACAACTTCAAGCATCTTCTGCTATGTCTCGCTCCGGATCATTGGATCCTCTGCCAGACGGTTCTTTCCGACAATCCAAAAGATCTGACAATAAGATTGGCATTATTCCACCCCGTGGACGTTCGAGTCGTCACGTATCACATCTCACTCGATTTGTTATTTACCTAAGCTGCATTAGAGCTGTGATGGATGGATATCTTCCATACTCGTATGAGCCAGCCAGCAGCTCTTTGGCGAATGTGGTTCTAGACTAGGATATACGTGCTCAGGAAATTAAAATGGCCATTTTCTCTCATTTCGAATTGAACATGGTCATGTGTGCTGACTCTATTTTAATTAGACCATTTCTCGTTAAGTATGTAGGACGTACATGACCGCCGATAATTACTCGGAATTAATGCCCTTGTATACGTGCGACATTCAAGTGCGTGCCCGTGATGATGTGATCCGACGTTTATGTATTTCTCGTAATTATGTAAATAATCATGCTGTACGTTAAATCATTTAATCTTGTTCTCTCCCTCTGCTGACAACTTTCTTCCTGCCTGCAGAGAGGAGGCATTTTTCATATTTTATCTTGATTTAGGAATAGTTAAACTGAGGTTTGGTTATTGTATGCAAAAGTGAATTATTGAGTGCTTTCAAAAGAACAAATGGTGCTAACTTTGTGTTACGCTGCTGTATGAATGTTTAGTTGATCTAATAAGCGCGTTGAATCGTCCTTCTCATACAGTGGCGAAGAGTTACAACGGTACCTGATGTGTCTATAATCTACGCCTATCGATATCGAATAAAGGCAAGATTAATGGAATATAAGATATGTACATAATCCAATAATTAAGGTATACTTTTGAATTATTGAAATTGTTCTATCGGTATTCTAATAAGAGTATAGTTAACATATTTGTAATTAGATTCTATATAAATATATAATCATCTAAGAAAAGGGATCATTTGACTTTTTTGTTGTGAACGATCTAGTTGTACTGGTTCTTGGTTAATTAATAAGTTGATGATGCTTGACTAATTACGTTATTAAATAATCAACATTTATTGCATTAATTACTCGACCTCCAACGATGTACGTGATTAATTTCGCCGCTGAATATTTTAATAATCAATCAATCAAGCATGTAGACCAAATACTTTAACAAAATTCCAGATCCATACATATTTCGTGCGTTCCTGTTGACTCTCGGTGCACGTAGGCTTCTTTGGCCGGATCTCAAGACGTGCTGGATTGATTTGAGATTTATGTAATATCACATCATATCGCCTGACAATTATTTTCTCTCTTTAATTGCAAGGTTAAATTTAAACCTTTACTTGTGTGATACGATCGGTATACACATGTATCTAAATTACAAGCCAATGACTAATCGAGAGTCCATTGAAAGTATCTCAATCACCTTGTCGCACACAACTCACTCTAATTTCAATTAATCAATGGCAATCTTTATGAATAATAATAATGTGGATGGCAAACACTTGAGACAAAGAATTCCAGCCAACCCTTCAAGAATATGGCATTGTTGGTATCCATGCATGCACTCACCATAGTTAATAACCCATTATTGAATAGCAACCAATAAAGTTGGCTAGATATGTACCTACACAGATCAAATACACATGTTTGTGAAGTAAAGGTCGTCTCTGCAAGACATGAAATGTAGTAAATTATTATATAACACAAGATCTCAAGGAGCTCGACAACCTGACATCGACACGTAATTGATGTAAGGGTACCACCACCTGCACACACATGCGACTGCCAACCAACTAACCAACTATCTATAGCCAACGATCACAAAACAATGAAAGAGATCAACCCATTCATCCTTTCATTTTCTGCTACAATTATTGGTCAGAGAGGGTGAGGCACTTGAGGTTGGTCGACTGACTCGTAATTCTGCCATATCCTTCTAGCTGCGATTCGTTTGTAAAAACGGAGGGACATTGAAATGATGCATTGGTCTACATTTGACATTTATTACTCTGAGCTATTAGAAATACGGCTTAGACATCCAATCAATAACGAATGAATTGAAGAATGGACCTTATTCCAATCAGTAAGAATATGAATTCACCAAACCAAAGTAGTGAAAGGCAAGATTAGAGCTCACTATCGCATTTTATGCATATGCTCGATCCAATCAACCTGTTGTTTAGGTCTCACCAAATCGCTGTTTGCTTATTCTTGCCAGTGATACTATTATTTAAGTTGTTTTGTTGAGTCTCATGGAAATTTCTGGTTTTCATCATGTCCATCCCCAATTGTTTAAGATTGTCAACCTTGATGCCGACTGTGAGCATTCACTCGGCAAGATTATCAACACCAGACTCGTTTGTGCATGTAATCATAAGAATAAGAATAAATAAGGTCTTTTGTCTATCTCGCATCAATGATATTTTGTATTGTTTTCGTCTCCTTGCATAATTGGTATCACGTATGAAAATCCCAACCGGAATATATCTATGTATCTATAACCATCAACGGAATGAATGTTCCGTAACGTTATATGTGTAATAAATTAGTTCATACAGCAAAATATTACATCGTTCGGGCTTAAAACATTTAATTGAACACGACGGAAATACATATTTCGTTACGTCGTAGATAGTATAGAATAAAATCCTGGTGGAATAATACATCCATGTTTAGTGGACCCGAAGAACTTTCGATGCATGTATGTACATCTAATATGTGTAACTAATTTGTTGAAGAGTAATGAAATGATGAGATTCCGTGCATCCTGACAGCAGAATAATAATAAATAAGATCAGAACGAGTTGTTTGAACTCCATCGTCGTCGTTTCATATGCACGTGCTTTAAATAAACTCATCGTAGTTTATGAATTACGTGTTTTCATATGTGCAAAGCTGACTGGCACAATTCAATTGTTTTGCGAAAAACATGCATACATAGATACATACATAAAACTAAACTGTTCAGTTGATGGATAGGTCTGTCGATTATAAGATTTAGGTATGTACTTATGTGTTCGGTATTGATTAACATTGTTGATTGATTATGTTCGGATACTTTGCATAAATAATGATAAACGACGATCCACTATCTGGATCTAACTCAATTTTTCTGCTGCTATTGGCACAATTATCATATTATGAACTACAAAATATTTTTAACAAAGTCGTAGCATTTTGCTCAGCTTAATCGCCTTTCAAATGCCATTTCAAGTAATCATCAGTTAAGATTTATAATCATGTTCGACAGAAGCTACATATGTACCAGCATCATCAATGGTACTTTGAAACAGATTGAGAAAAGTGTGTAACAAGAACTCAACAATATTACAAAAATGAGGACATTTCTATATCAAATTTACAGCGTTATATCAATTTGCTTTTTATCTGTTGTTACTTTTATTTATATAACGTGCCGGTGGTGGCATGATTCAAGTTTAACAATGCAAATCAATAAAACACTTACATAATAATCTAAATCCGACGTTAAACGACATATATTTACGCATATCTTTCAGTAATGCCACAAAATACATGAAATGCATGTTAAGAATGCATTTCGTACTATTTATTAATTATGCGTATGCAAATGTATGTATATCTGTATATATTTGGCGAAGCCAATTCATCATTACCTGATTAGTCTGACTTATATTTATATGCACATACATAGAGCATCAGTTCCCTCAACTTAATTTATCTAGTTGCATGCTTCAACAAGGCAAGAATACTGCACGGTTGATGGTTTACGGTGATTTGGATTGTGCAAATGCATTCTTGTACAATTACATTGGAAAAGGTAGTTGTTATTTGTAGCCAGAGGGTGTTCCTGATTCCCTTCCGTGTCGCATTGTCACAGTTCAGACATGACAATAATCACTATATAGCGTTTACAGGCAGAATATTTTTCTGCCCATGTATTTGGTTTGGCTATACACACATGCATACGCTTTTTTAACCACTTCGCCCCTATAACGACTATGTGGCGTATTTGACCTTTACACCGAATACGACCATGTGGCGTAAGTTCCCTTGGCACCGGAATACGACGATGTGTCGTATTGACCCTTGACAACGGATACGACTATGTGGCGTATTTTCCGTTCACGCCGGCCTACGACTATGTGTCGTATTCGAAAAAAAATTAGGTCATTGCCCTTCTAAGTCCAGGAAAGTATAGTTTTGAGACAATAACCCTTTTTTGGACGGGAAGATGAATTGCCTCTTCGGAATCAGTGTTATAAATGATGGCAAAAACAATTTATAGCCATGTGGCTATTTCTAGCCTATACGCCCTGTTTTGAAAATTCCTGTTTGATGGGATTTTCGTCACCTATTTCAACAGCGCTATCCGATAAGATTAGAGAAATTGTTTCTCTCGGATTTGGAACGCACCAACGGGCGTTTTTGGCGGGAAAACTAAACGTTCGGTGAATTGTATGAAATTAATATTATAGGCTACAAATAATATTGCCAGTCGGACAAAATACGTCAAAATTAATTATTACGCATCTGGACTTGGTGAAATCTCTTTGGGCGGGAAAATTAAGCGACTGCCCGGAATTAATAGCATTTAATTTTCCCGCTTAGGTTTGAGTTCTATTCACCAAAGGCTGGCTTAGAAAAGTTGATGCTACAATTAATCACTCCCGCTGCTGTCAATTTAAACTCATTTCAAGAACTTTTGGTCTTCCCTCCCAAAGTGTGCGTAAATTTTATGCAAGCTAGATGTACAAGAAACAATTTTTACATGTTTTAGTGTAACCACTAAATTAATTATAGCCTATATAACGAATTGAAAGCAAGATTTGCGAAGTTTAATTTTCCCTCCCAAATCGGCTTTTGGGGCGCTTGAGGCGCGATAATCGATTTTTTCGAATTTACGTACTATTATGTAAGTATTACTCAATGTTTGTTTAACTTTCCATGCAATTACAATCACTTTTAAAATTCGGCGTGTTGGCTATTTTCGGCTATAAACATTAGTGCTCGAAAAAATGCACAAATGCAAATTACAACTCAAAATCCGTTCCCAAATGGTTATTCGTATCAACTTTCATAAAAAAACTGTCCAGAATAATTCCGGTGGGAACACCATTTTTCAATTCATCTCCTAGTAATTAACGTCATGCAGTAGGTGAAAATTCCGGGGTCAAGGGAAGAAAAAATTCCACGTTGCTAGGGGTGAAAGGTATGAAAATATGCGTCGCTCAGGGGTGAAGTGGTTAATTCAGTAAAAATATGCTTGAATATGGAGAGTTTCCATCATCCATCATCATCCAGGCAAATTTTAAAAGGTGGAATCATAGTCGGACATAATTATAGTGTTTGAGACTTAATTTTGCATTCTGTACGCAATTGTATTTATGCGGAGCAAATGTCAGTATTTAGAATTCATTCCAACCCCATCTACTTAATTCCATGATTGTTTTCTAAAATTGAGCTCATGGAAAAAGTTTGCTTCCGATAAAATTTATCAGAAGTTAGATCATTTCATGCTCATATACTCGGGACACGGGGAGGGAAAAGTGAGACTAGATGTGACCACTGCACTGTAGTTTATGTAGATCTCAAGAAACCCGTTGGAATAAGTACCACTTTAAGAAAGAATAATTACATTGTTAGACAAAATTACTTTGAAATCTTAAAATAGCAATGGTAGGTTTATTTTGAAGTTGTGGTCAAAGTTGTTACGGAAAAATACGGCAGGAGAGGATATGAGAGCACAAGACAGGTATGTATGTGGTACAAATGATGCACACACACGTTGGCCAGGTAAGCATGCAGTAATTCATGAATCAGTTTCAGTGCTGCTGGCGAGTTAGGAGTGGCGAGGATTCAGTCTTGTGCTGCAGTTGGCTGAGCATTCATCTCACAGATATCACGCTTGAAGGAATTGAAGGAATTGCAATTGCATTGCCACTTGCAAAGTTAAAAACGGTTCATTTTTTAAGAAGCAAAACTCCCAGACGTACCAACGCGAAATTGTCGTGCAGAATAGAAAGTGATAAATGTAGACATTTTTTAAACCAATCGTAGTGAAAAGGAGCATCCGGAACATATTCAATGTAAAAACTACCCTCCTTTTCAGTGATGCTACGAGATACCATTATTACTGCTTAAAGTGAATTAAATTAATAACAATAATGGGGGCTTAACAGCAAGAATTGATGTATGACACAGTTAAAAGAATCGAACAAGACAAATATCCGCCTTGTGGTTCACATTTTTCGTGGTTACACATATCTCTTTCTTTCTACGGACAAAAAATTTGACCACATCAAAATTCCACATACCATAAGTTTACGGTTTAATGTTATAACAAGCCTCAATTAAATTTAAATTTGTTATTACTGCGATTATTACATGGGGCATCCGATGAATGAGTTCAATCAAGTATTAGCATTGTGTGCTGTTGGATAATCTAATCGGCATTTGTATTATTTGTTATTGACTTTCGATTGAGCTGGATGAACATTGTAAGAAGAGTGGTAAATACATGTTGTTCATACGGCGGAAAAATCTGGGACTGAAAAATTGCTCACCACAAAAATTATTTAATCAATCTAATTGATCAGCTTGCATAAAAGTTGCGATAAGTTATTGCAATGAGGATTGTGTCAAATATGTACTTTGTCAAATCGTTCGCCCAATAAAGTTTATTTCGTGTTTTAAAGTGTAATAAACAGATCAAACAAAGAAGGTAAGAAATCAACAAAATTGTAAACTGTCTCAATTTCCTCTCGATCGGTTATACATACATATGTATGCACGGTACTTACACGCAATGCCCACGGTCAATAATTTCTTGTAACGGGCTGGCCTACAAAGAATTCCGATACCAAAGATTATTCAATTTTCAAAAATTATAAATCTCATAACTCGTTGAAGCAGAAAATGACAGGATATGTGGCTATTTATACAAAAGATGGCTGACTTTCGCACAAATAATATTTGATCTTGACTCTTTTGTAACTCAAAGTTTTGTTGATTTGATCCGATAGACACGAAGCAGTGTCAATTTTGTTCATGCCTACATTCGTATGCATGTGTATACTTATGTGGAAGACTTGATCATTCCACCTTCACGTGCTTTGTGCTCAACGTATAAATTCTTCACAAGGAGTGAAGTTTATCTCGCCATAAGAAAAACTTTAAAGAAATAGAGAGGAATCAACCGTGTGAAACAATGAGCCTTCATTCAGTGAGCGGTGCCCTGTATTACTTTTGCTTCACGATGAATGAGTAGGTTGCTGCCTTGCAGAGAACAAAGTTGTTTGTTGTGCATGCTGTGTGAACATTTTGCACACTTGAAGCAGTGGAAATTCGCTTGAAGGTGTGCATAGTGCAGGCAGTTGCAATGTCGAGAAAAAGGCTCAGGATATGCAGTCGCGTTAACAAGAATAGGCATGCAGTGTATCATAATTGAGCTTTAACGCTAATTTAAAGTTTCTAAACGCAAGAATCCGTTCACTTAAATAGGTAGTAGTTTGTACAGAAGCACATGGTTTACAGGAATGTGCTAATGTTCTGATAACATTGACTTTGACATTTGACCAGTACGCAACTTGTGGTAAAATCATTATGCATATTATTTTTTAGTGTCACTAGATACTTATTTTAAGTTGTTATTATTATAATATTTATCATTGCACGCATTGAAAACATGGCTCGAATGAAAAACAATTAAGTTGGCTATAGACTACTAGAATTTTATTTGACATTGTTCTTATTCTTACATGCATTAGTTGAGCTGTGAGTGTAAAATAGAACATATTTATTCTAATTTCTTGATAAATAATTCGAATTTATGTATAAATGTTTCAGGTTATCTATACCTTTGGTCCAACTGCTACTACATATTTGTGAACGACGTGAGAGCAAAAGTGAATGAAACGTGGAAGTTTGTGGCTACGAGTTTCAATGTCACCGAGAATTGTTTGATTTACAAAGAACCCTTGGCATAAGAAAACGTGACTAAATTGGCAGTTTTGTCGTGATGTGAAGAGCCAAGCGAGTCATCTAATATATTCATCAAGGAAGGAGGTGAAAAGCTGTCTTGCTAAGTCAATAGAACGACTGAACGTACAAGCATTTAAGCTTGGAATAATTTTAATCTTAACAAAAAGTGATAAAAAATAAAAATGTCATCGTCTGTGATATCGAAACCTGCTTCCAAGCCAAACCGGAACCCCGATCCACCCAGAATAAATCGCCGACGCTACTTTTGGCTCTTTGTGGGCTACTACTTGGTGAGCATATACATAAAATCGACAACCGGAAAAGCAAGTGGGTTGTCCACCCCCGATTTCTCATCCGATATTCTCCGTTCACACCATTTAAATGCCAAACCTTTGGAGGACATTCCGGGTCATAGCACAAATGCGGAAGGTTCTGAACACGCACATGGAATTCAAATTGCCAAAGTTGATTTCGAAGGAGTTGAAACACCATTTATCATCGCACTATGGATATTTTGTGCCAGTTTAGCCAAAATTGGTAAGTGTACATATTTAACATTGGATCCCTCATTCTGTATGCATGCAAGATAATCTGGTATTATACATCATAGAAGTAGGCATTTATATGTACAGTATGTAACAAAAGTATAGCTACGATGACATATTTTTTATCTCGACATGATGCCGTAATATTTCAACCTTGAAACTCCGTACAAAAATGTCAAAACTATCTACCGACAATTTCCTCGTCGCCGATTTTTAATGTCGCAGATAGGTCAAAGGTCAGGATTATTTTTCTAAAAAAATTTGAGGCGTCGAAAAAAAAACTTCGTGGATAATTTTTTTTGAACTTTGCAATATTTTTTACTGGATGCGGCATGCGTTTTGAAGAATAATGAGCTTTGGTCGGACCGTGTACGATTTTTTTGGCGCCCACAGGAATTTTTCGCCCAGGACAGGTTGGAGGCGGCGATTTTAGACCTTCAATCTCTTTTTGGCGAAAAATTCCTGTGGGCGTCAAAAAAATCGTACACGGTCCAAACAAAGCTCATTATTCTTCAAACCGCATGCCGTATCCAGTAAAAAATATTGCAAGTTTCAAAAAAAATTATCCACGAAGTTTTTTTTTCGACGCCTCAAATTTTTTTAGAAAAATAATCCTGACCTTTGACCTATCTGCGACATTAAAAATCGGCGACGAGGAAATTGTCGGTAGATAGTTTTGACATTTTTGTACGGAGTTTCAAAGTTGAAATATTACGGCATCATGTCGAGATAAAAAATATGTCATCGTAGCTATACTTTTGTTACATACTGTAGTAAGTTGCTACAACTGGCATGGAGTGAGACATTGCACAATTAATTTGTCAAAATTATATTAAAGAAACTAAAATGAAATGAAGACACTGTAAATGAATGTTTAGTAACGTGTGCAGCTGTCGGGCTACTTTAGAAACCAAATCCTATTTCTTGGTTACGATTCTTACAAGGATGTTTGCGGTGATACACGCATAAGTGCCTCATTGTGGTGACCAGAAGCAAATCCAGGGATTACCGCAATGTATTTTTTATAGGGACCTGTTTAGTGATGGCATTGGAATGCGAATTTTACACTTTTTCCCCATAGTCTATTCCCACACGTTCCATGTTTTGCAGGATAACGACCAGAAAAACTATTAACAGGAAATATTTTAATGAAATTAAAAGTATTTGATGTTCTGTCCAGACAGAGACAGAATTATTCCATTCCAAAGGATTATTACATTTTTTTAGCAATTACATGTTGCCATATTATTTCGCAAGACAATACAGCCGGTCATTAATGAGGATAATTTAAATTTAACACCCGTTTTCTTGAAGATGTCTCGAACGAAATACATACTTATGTATTAATGACTTACCAAATTGTCAAACATGAGACTCTTCATATGTGTATGCACTAGATAAAGATGCATTTTTCTATTCTTCTGATGTCAATGCATAAGAAGTACCGCATTAAAAGCTTTTTGCATTGTCGGAGCTATAAATAATCTACAAAACGTGGATTTAATACCTTAAAATGAATTACACAGCCCATAAAACCTGCTGCTAATGACTGACTGCAAACTTCGCTCATACATGTCTCTTGTCCAAGTATCCATTTAATAGAGTCGACGTTAATTTAATAGTTGCATGCTAATGTTTGAACTAATGTTTATAAATATGTGTACGTATACGTTCTTGACAATTGCATTTATATCTCAGATCATTAAATTTAACATGGTACTCGATTTTCAAAAAGTTATCTGTAATAATATATTACAGCATTATCCACCATAAAATTTTTCTCTGAGGTAAGTAAAAAAAATGCAAATAGTGCATCCAATTTAAAGTTAAGAGATCTGTTCATCAATTCCATTTCAAAATCCTTCCTGCCACGTTGCATCTCTTCAAGTCCAATGTAACTGACTGTGTCATTTTCTCCCCTCCATGCACCAGTCGAATTGCCAAAGCAGGTCTTTTTTTATTGATTATAAGAAACTGCTACACTGGTCCCATTCTAAATAGATCAACCTGCTACTCTGGCCATACTTGACTATAGCGCTTTCGTTAAGGTCTAAGGTTAGCTACTTTGTAAACGGCAAAATATTTACATCTGATGCAATTAATGCAAAGGGAATAAATAATTTGGTGTCCTTGCTATCTATGAAAGTAATGAGTTTAGTTCGCCAGTGGATGGAAACGTACACATAGTACAAGGAAAATTGAAGGAGGGGGCGAAAGGCAATCAACTCGAACCACCACCACGATAATAAAAATACGCAGAAATGACCAGAACTTATTTAGCATCATAATAAAAAATGCATTTGGCATAAATCACTATTTTGAGTGACGTGTTTTCCATTTTTTAATTTTGACACCATTTTTGACACCATTCCTTCAAAAAGTTTTCTACAAGTATGACTTTGGTCGTACATACTCCTCACACAAAAAAAAATTCAGATGCGGTGCTAGATATGTTGGAAGGTGTTTCAAAGACAGTTCTGTGCACCCAAGAAGATCTTGTGATGGTTCTCCCGATGCACGTAATCAACTATGTAATGACTCATGAATTATCTTCACTTCCGACAAACGAGTTTAGATTTAACCAAGTTATTGACCTCGTCTTTGCAGGCAGATGATACACATGAGTACGTATGCAAGAAAATATTGCATTCATTTTCATTAGTAGATTTTATGATTTTTATGGGTCCGATAATCTGCTATTATTTTGTTGAAATACAAAAATGAAATCAACTTTAGTTTAACTGCACGGCAATTAACAGATTAAATCACACACATAAGCAAAATATAATTAAAGCGTCGCTTGAAAATTTGTCACAAGATAAACACTAATAATTCATAATAGATTTTAAACAAACAATCATCATTTGTAAGAGTTGTAAGTAAAATGCACGCTCACTCTTCTAAATCATATACATCATTGATGAAGCTTCCGACCGGAAAGTTATGTACGTAGTACGTACATATGTATCTGCTCTGTAGCAAATTATTGTCCACGTTACATACGTATAAACGAGAAGCGCAAGCAATTTTTTACAGGTAATTAACAATGCATAGCCGTGCACATTTCCTCCGAAAAAAATACCAAACACGTAAATCAACATGCCCTTGAAGTTAAACAAGGCCTAAACTCTTCTCTTGTTGCATTCATGTAGACGTAGAGAGAGCATAAAAATGGTTACTTCTGTGGAACATAATACGGGTGTACTTTGGGTATCTGCCTAATGACGTTAAAGTGACGAATCAATATGAATTGTTGGTTTTGTCAGCTTTGATTAAGTCTTCTGTCAGGAACTAATACGGCCTCAATGTTCCACCTCCGATGCTTTCATGCTATGTGTATTTCCAAGTTTGTTTTGAAATTCTTCGTCAAATTTAGCAATATTGATATTGGAGCCGTGCGGTGGTGTAGTATTATTCTGATGACAACGAAATCATATTTAGGTCAAGATGGGATTGCGTCTAGTAATATCAGATTAACGCCGCAGGTAGTCCGCGTTCTCTTCACTCATACAAGTGCAAAAAGGCAAAGGGTTTGGCTCCTGTCTACACACGTACAAGACTTTTCGGCATATTGTAAGGTTTTTTTTTCTAAGACGAGTGACGCGTCAATTGCAAGAAGCACATTCACATTGAATGCATGGGATAGAATCTAGTCAACTTCAAAACCATTTACGAGCGACGGACAGCGTGATAAAAGTGACAAATGATGTTTGGGATTCGGACTTGTAGTCATAAACACAGCCATTCGTAATAATCTGTTGGGCTAGGATGAATTAAACAATATGCATAACATCATTTCTTAAGCAGTCAAGTGACCTGCTGACAACCACCAACAAGAAGGTGAAGTGACGATTCGTGCATGTGCATATAAACTGAATGGATAAAATCATGGAATCATTATGTATATAAAACTATTAAATAGTTGAATACATATTTGCATACCTGATGAAGAGGCAGATTCTACGAATTTGCATTTAGCATCTAAATGTCTGACTAAATTCTATTTACGTCAGAAATGCAGAGAAAAAAATCTATCAAATAAATGACCTGCACAGTGTCGAGCTTTATCAGATCACATGCATGGGAAATAATGATGGTTCAATTACACATTATTTTGTAGGATAAGGAATGGAAATATTTACCTCCGGAGACTCAGAGGCTACTATTAAGTGGTCTGGCCTATTCGTTATCAATTAGCGCTGCCTTGCCTTATCATCACGTATCACGACAGCCAAAAGTGCCAATTACACGCTAAGATTTTTCGATGGAATTCAGGAGCATTCATTAACATATTGTGTGCTTAGGTAGCCTTGTTGAGAACCGTGACCCAATGTCTTCCACTTATTGCATATTGTCTAATGGAGATTAGAGTGGACATTGATTGTAATTGTGGCGTGCCCATGAATGATAAAACATTAAATCATTTCCAAAATGACATCTAAAATTCTCAGAAAGATATGATTGTTGTAAACTAAATATATGAGTACAGTTTAAGTGTGCACGAAGAAAGGTCGAACTTGTGGATAAGTGTGATCTGAGTGATCATCAAAAACTACATCATCGGAAAATAAAACTATGAATGATTGACAATTAATAAGTAAATTATTAATTTATAAATAAAAGATGCATAGATATGCATCTTTTCACCACCCGTTGCATAATTGTGTTACGAATTTCTCATTGGGTGCTCATTACTAATAAATTTATTATAAAATTACCCAACTAATTTGAAATTTTAACTTTTACAGGGTTTCATATGACGCCAAAATTGAGTCATATCTTCCCAGAATCCTGTTTACTAATTGTGGTGGGAGTTGTTATCGGGCTCCTCCTTTTTCACACGAACAGTGTCCATGTTTCTCCCTTGACACCAAAAACCTTTTTTAACTACATGCTTCCGCCAATTATTTTGGATGCTGGATATTTCATGCCCAACCGGCTGTTTTTCGATAATTTGGGAACCATTTTATTAATGGCTGTAGTGGGTACATTATGGAATACTTTCACCATTGGTAAGACTCGCATTTTTCTTTTTATTTTTGGGTAGAAAATGCAATTCATTATGATTTTCCTTCAGGACTTTCTCTTTGTTTGTTTCATTTACATAAATTTTGTCTTTCCTTCAGGACTTTCACTTTGGGGCGTTGGATACTGGATCGGATTTGGAATTGAACTTCCACTTCTTCAAACATTGTTATTTAGTGCCTTAATCTCCGCTGTGGATCCTGTCGCTGTTTTGGCTGTGTTTGAAGAAATTCACGTGAATGAAGTGCTGTACATTGTTGTATTCGGAGAATCATTGTTAAACGATGCAGTCACTGTGGTAAGCAGACAATTATGTATCTTCCTACTATGAATAAGTACTTACTGATAAAAATCATAAAAAAACATGTTACTTTCATGTCGTTCAGACCAAACTCTGTCAAAGTTCTAGTAAGAAGTACATATATAAATATACATAAATAACACGTCCAGGCGTAAGTACTTGGTAAATATTGGCAGGCTTGGTCAAATTTTCAGCGTTACTTATACAATATAGTTATTTTTAGTAAACTGGTTATATTAATTGTAACCGGTTTTATTTTAGCTAAGCATTACGTAAATGCTAATTAAAAATGCAGAAAATCAGTTCAATATTTACGATTTTCTACTCTGACTTCACACCATAGATCCAGTTCGTTAGATCCTCGATCTGTATTATACATATTGTTTTTATGTATTATACAATACATGCATGCATGCTTTTTATAGATCTTAGTTTTAAACTTGTGTAATTTTCGTTAAAAATAGTTGTGCAAAGGTTAGCAAGGTTAGTGTAATTCGATGGGTATGTGGAAATGTGTTAAACAATTATGGATGTTAATGTACAAAGAATTACAGTAAATGATTGTTTCAGGTCCTGTACCACATGTTTGAAGATTACGCGAAAATGGGGGCGGACAAAGTTACCGTGGTGGAAGTGGTAAAAGGATGCGCGTCATTTCCAGTTGTAGCATTTGGGGGAACAGCTATTGGAATAATCTGGGGATTTCTTACTGGATTTGTGACCAGGTTTACCAACCATGTCCGCGTGATTGAGCCAATTTTCATTTTCGTCATGGCCTACCTCGCTTATTTGTGTGCAGAAACGTTCCACATGTCTGGAATTTTAGCGTAAGTCCTTCTACATGCTTTTGATGAAAGAATACGATTAACCATTAGTCAACTACCTTTGTACATCACGCTCCATGTCCAAGACCAATTACCTACGACGTTGTTCGCATGCATATGAAATAGCATTCAAGGTCATAAAGGGATGATATTCCTATATTTCATATTCTAAGTGCAAAATGATGTACGTAAACACAAATGAAAGCAAACTTGAAAAGTATGCTTTAGATTGTTTGAGTTAAAGGGAGAAGTTTATTATAGTTTTTTATAGTCTTTATTGTTTCTTTACTAGTGTAACATTTTGTGGAATTACTATGAAAAATTACGTCGAGGCAAACATCTCCCAAAAGTCTCACACAACTGTGAAATATGCGATGAAAATGCTTAGCAGTTCTTCGGAGACAATTATCTTTATGTTCCTTGGAGTTTCCACAATTCATGATGGTAAGTTTTTTGTAAATAATAACATGAGCAAGCAATAAATGCATCTACAAAACTCATCATCTCATTTTATTCATGTTAATTTCAGAGCATGAGTGGAATTCCTGGTTTATTGCAGCAACCATTATATTTTGCACAGTATACAGAATTATAGGTGAGTGAAAAGTGGTTTTTGTAGAAAGCGAATTGGTCGATATTGATTGACTTTCTTTATAAAATAATCAGGAACTCTAAGCTTGTCCGCACTTGCAAACAAATTCCGATTGCACAAACTAGGAAGAGTGGATCAGTTTGTAATATCGTATGGTGGGCTCCGAGGTGCAGTAGCGTTTGCTTTGGTTTTATTGATTGAAGAAGACGCCGTGAATTGCGATGACAGATTGCGAAAAATGTTCATTACCACGACCATCACTGTCATCTACTTTACGGTTTTTGTCCAGGTATGCAGAGTCACATTTACTGTCGCGTGTGGTATGACAATCAAAAATAAAATGCCAAATGACGAAGACAAAAAACAAATACTTCTTGACTTTTACGTTGTAATGATGATTACGTACGTACACGAGATAGACAATTTTTTGTACTCCAATTATCCGATTATTATTCCAAGACTGTTGTTGCCTAAATAATTTTATGAAATGCAGGGCATCACTATTAAACCATTGGTCCAATGGCTAAAAGTACAACGTGCTACAAAAAGGGAACCAACTATGAATGAAAGGTAAAAACAAATAATTGAGATTGAATAATTAAATGACTTGACTCAAATCTCATTACATTACACGTGCTGTACAATTTGTGAAGATTTCTAATTAGCATGTTTTTATTTATTTTTCAGGATCCACGAACGGGTATGATTGCATTTTTCAGTTTTGATAACCTCAGTACTGTAGATTCAACCTCTGAATATAGACATAACTTAGGATATCATATCATATTTGCCATAAGTTTAACATGGCATTACCAAATTTTTAGATGACTTTAATTTCTATACAAATTCAAGTTATTAGCTACCAAGCTTTTTGCACTTATTTGTGCAGAAGTCCCCAACTAAATAGCCTTCAAGAGTGTGTAGATACGTATATGCCCTGGTTCTGACTTAAAACCATACACCTTGATTTGGGAAGATTTTGTTTTAACCTTAGAGTAACATAAAATTTCATCCCAAGGGTGGTTAAGAATAAATAGGCATGCATAGTAGGTCTCAGTGTCAGCGAATCAGGTGAAACCATATAATTTAGATTCATAATTAGTCAAAAAATATTGTATGCCAAACGTAACGAAATGAAATGAAAATTAACACGTGAATTATGATTTATGAAAGCATTTATGATGGGACAAAATTATAGTAATTAATAAGGACATACGTATCTCTGTATAGGAATGATATGATTAAATAGTAAATTTGGAATTTATTTTAAATAGTTAATGGATCACACAATGGCTGTGCTGGAAAGTCTGGTTGGCCAAGTTGGACATTATAATTTGCGAAACAAGTGCGTGGCTTACTCATTGCGTGGCTGGTGGCTTTAATAACCATAACCTTCGATTTAGCAGGGAATAATATTATTTGCTTTGTCACAGATTCAAACAGTTTGACAATCAGTACATTCGTCCTTGCCTTATTCGAGATTTGAAAGGAGCAGAGCCCAAAATTCTGGAAACATTTTCGAAACTTGCCATGCGTGACGCGATGGATATGATGAACAGAAATCCTCAGCAAAATAATGGCTTTAATCCTAATAAACTCAGCCCAGAGTCTATTGCACAATTGATTCGAATGCAAGGAAGGTTAGTGAATATTTCAGTAATACGCGCATATACATATGCGTATGTATACATATGTGTATACCATATATACATTAACATACATAATCGATAACTAAAATCTTTAACGTGTTTTCCATAGTTCTGGAAACCTTCAAAACGACGCTAGTACATGGAATCTTGATTTACAAGAGCTGGAGTACAATTTATCACGAAAGGACATGTCTGATGCTAAAATTCATCATCTTTTATCAGAAGAACTGTACAAACCTTATCGTCGACATCGTCGTCTCTCATACAGCAGACATGTAAATACATTCATAACTCTATGTGCATGCACATTGTGATATATTGTAATTATAAATTATAATTGTGCATGATTATAGGCTGTACATGACCAGGATCTAGCTACCGAATTGCATCAGCAAGTCAATTATCGTCAACCCATGAACTTTAAAAGGGTCAGTGAAAATGAATTAAGATTTCCCTAAACCATATAAAAAATTCACTATATTTTTAAAATGTGCATACAGATGGTTAGTGAACGGCTTCAGAAGCAAAATAAAGTTCGCCGGCCTGGAGTTGTGAACAATGTGAGCATAAAAAGATATTAGAAAAAAGCTAAATATGAGGTTTATGTATGTATTAATGCATATTTGTAATTTCAACATTATTTCAGGATGGCAACATTGTTAGTAATGGACGAATTACATTTGGTGAAGGTAAGTAGTTAGTTATTGAAAAATTTCCAGTCACAATGAATTTATACGCACAGCGACAGAATACAATTGATACTGCCATTTCGCAGAATATGATAATCCTGCATTTTCTCTTGCCGACGAGCGAATGCAAAGATCCAATGATGACAAGGACGGGGATGTGGGGATTTATTTTATTGCTGGAGGAGGCTCTAGTAAGTCTCATGTCATGTTTTATTTCATATTAAACGCGATATCTCCCATGGTACATAATTTCCTAAATGTGTGCAATGGACTGTAACTTTTACAGTTTTACTATATGGTGAATTACAGTAGCTACGTATTGGATTCATTTTTCGAATTATTTTCTCTTTTGGATGCTTAATTCGTACATATTTACCACTGGCAAACAGAGTAAACTGTCTGCACCACTTTCTCGTTAAAATTACTCTTCCTCTCGTATCGTAAATGCTGATTTGCTTGACTCTTGCACAGAGCACAAATAGAGACCTTACAAAATATTACCTTCGTAACGAGTACCTCTGCACTCTGTTTTTGTATCACTTGCTCTTCAGTAGTTGAAGTAGTTGCTGCAGTGTGTGTTTGATTATTTATGCATGGTTGATTGTATTGCACTTGTCCTGTTAGTCGTTAGTGTGTGCATTTGTGTACCATAATTTGTGTCCTAAATTGCCCACCTTACACAGCCGGCGACTCTCGGCGTGATTGGAGTGAGCGTCGTTGGTCGCAAACGAGTGGGGCGAGCGTGAAATCGTACCTGGAGCGTGAGTACCCCCACATGGCGCAGCCCATCCACCGCCACACTGCCAGACGCCATTCACGTCTCTCGGACTATGACGACAGCCCGACCGTGGCTGAAATCACCTTACCCTGGCGAAGAGACGCTGCTCAAAACCTTGCCAATAATAGATTCAGTAAATGTGACTTTGTACTTGTCTTGGCTAAAATGCACTGTTCAATGAGCAAACTCTTACTCTGCTTGGAAATAATAATTGCCAGTCGCATTGATTTAACTTAACCAAGTTAGAGACTTGCATGCCTTTGCTTTTTCTGATTAATTGCGATTCTATTCGTAACACCCTCAATAAGTTTTCCTGTGGATCTAAAATTAGCACTACTAGAAAATTATTAATGAATCCAGTGAATCCAACTAAAATGACTAATAATCCGCATGTAAAAAACGTTCAAACCGTTAACTTGAAAATGCTATTTGAAATGTGCTTGACTTTTCATTACTTGCTTGTTTCTCTCTCCAGGGGTGTCTCCAGCAAGAAGAATGACTCGCGAGGAAGATGGTATGCCTTCCTTTTAAAATTCCCTTATTCATACATTATGGTTTAGCATTAATACTAATTAATTAATTTGCATAGGGTCATCTCCCACGCACATGGAGCTGCCCTGGAAGCGAGATGATGAGCATGACACGGAAGTTTTTCCAATGAAACAAAGCGAGTTTCCAGCGTGGTCATCAAACAAGGAGTATTTGGCTTATAATTCGCCAACAAATACATTTTTGGGTGAGCTTCATATTTGTACAGTTAGCTATCATTATCATGAGGTGAGACTATAAATGGCTGAACCACTGCAGGTGGGATTGGGGGTCAGCCAAAGATGCCAAGCGTCATGGGGATTTTTAAACGTGATAGTATTAGTTCCACTGCAGGGTCCAGGTAACACCACTTTAAAATGCATATTCTGAATCAATTTAATTGGATTGTTTAATGCGTAATTTGAACTATTCCACAGACGAGGCTCTCTTCAAAGTTTGCAGCAAAGTCGTTTGGACTCTCCGAGACATTCGATAGGGTCGGATGGAAGTGGTGGGCCGATGGGGCACGACATGGCGTCGACTTCGGTGGAAATGACGTCCCCCGTTCGAGAGGGGCCAACTCGTCGAAGAGATTCTGCGTTTTTGCCCACACCCATCCCAGAAGTCGCAGAAGAGACTGAGAAGGACTTTGCCGAGGGGGAGCATAGCAGTGGGAGGGAAGGTAGGAAAAGAGACGGAGGGGGACCACCACCAACATCGCCCTCTCATTCCATGAAATCTCCATCGTCACTAGAGAAAATAGAAGAGGGAGACGTTTCAAGCTCTCAGACTAAACTTTAAATTTTATTCATGTGATAGGGTTCATATAATATTTTTTTGCAACAGGGGTACTTCATATATAGTCTGCATCCTTTCGTGTACTTCTATTTTCATATCGGATGAAGTGATTGTACTTTTAATGTTTTAGCTACTTCCATATCGAAGCCACTTCATCATAAGGTGTTTAGAGCAAAATTTAATAACCTGCATAAAATTAAAATCTTCTTACATATTGACCAAAATATTTTAATCGGCCGACCTTTACTTTTAAGTGATTGACGAAGACCAACTGGTTTAATTTAATCATAACTTATGATAACCCGTTCTAACAAATGTATATATGTTTTTGAATTTGTAAATTAACTGTGACCAATAAGTGTGCCATATGTTTTTAAAGAGTTTAACAGACAAAAACTTGTAAAAATCACAATTAAAAAATTATCTAATACTAAAACTTCGTAAATTTCTCGTAGCCAATCAAGTTTTTAACAGCGTTGTCTGTTGAAAATTCGGAATATTATTCGAAATAAGTACGTGCAATTTTTAAAATATTCTGGAAAATCATGAAAGTAATAAAATGACGATGATCAATAAAATATGTAATAAAACCGAATACCGAAGTGGCTTGAATTGTTTATTAGCCAATATTTTGAGAAATTTTATTATTCTATTCCTACACTTGGAAAAGGCATACTTTATACATAATTTATGCACTTTAATTAATACTTATATAATCTAATCTAATTTCTAACCCATAAATAATACAAGTTTTAATGCGTTTAAAACATTACAAAGTGGATAGTCTTAAAATGCAGAAAAGAAGACAAGCGAATATTAAATTAACAAAATTGAATGTCAAGAGTAAGTTATTATCACTATTTTTGATCAAAATTGATTAAAGCACATTACATCTATCTAAAGTTATAAAAAGGTGCATTAATCAAAATCATTGGTATACGGCACAGCATCGTCGTTTAGAAGAAATTTAACCCCAGCTCATAACTACAGAAATTTGAGCAAGATTTGGGAATACAGCTTTTCCCACAATAGATTATGTCATGTTTCCAAACACCGGATTGTGTCGACAAATACTGGGACCATACTCTTCATATGCTGCCTTTGTGTGACAGACTTGATAAAATTCGGGCTAAAAGAATTATTAATGTTACCGTTAGAATTAATAGTTTGCTTAATCTCAAGAAGATTGACAAATAAACATAAATTCAAATACCGTGGATGCAAGCATACTGCCTCCGAACCACACTGCGTATCGTTGCATATGATGTGAAATGACTTGAACATCCATTGCTTTAGGCTGAAAAAATATTAAAATATTTTAATAAGGCTTATATTATATCGCTCATATTAATCTTCGAATGTTAAATGTTACCTTTATTCTTCCTCCACTAAGGCTTTCACTTAACTTGAGCCGTCCATCTACCTGCCGTTTAATATCTCGTTGGAGACGTCGTCCAAAGTCCCTAAACATTGTAGAGCCTCCAGATAAAACAATACTTTGGTATAAAGGTCTACGGACATCTATTGGGCAGTTTTGTATAACGTTATCAACAATCTCCGAGATCGGGGTTACAAAATCGGGATTGGCAAACTCCGGGTGGAAGAAAATTTCAGGTCCCATAAATCGTTCATATCCAACGTCGACAGAGAAAGGCTGTTTCGTCTGAAGGAAAACAATGAAGAAGTGTAAATGTGACCAAAACTATTTTGTTATTTTAATACGCAGGTGTTTTTTTTGCACTTACAACGGAATTAATGCCCTCATATTTTTTCATCCACTTTGCTGGATCACTATCATACTTTGCAAATTCCTTTGCAATGTCAGGACAAATGTAGCAGTGTCTCTCTTTTATCGCCTTTGCTGTTTCCAATGACTGTTCAGGGGGAACTAGAAGAAAGAACCATATGTTCTAAGCTTAACACAAGTAAAACTTTATCGAGCTGCTAAACTTATGGATGCAGGGACGCAAGAACGTTCTTGAGGACGAGGTAGGAATTCAGCTTAATACAATTGTAGTGTCATGATTTTGTGTATAGTTGTTATTAACAAAACTGATTAGCGTTGATGACGAAATGGAATTAGTGTCCAAACGCAACAAATGTGTCGTACCTCCAAGTTCTCGTTCACGAAGCAAAGATTGAATAAAGTAAGTAATATTCCTTCCAGCAATGGGAATGTGCTTGATACAGCTTCCAATAACGTAGCCTTCAGCCTAAAAATAAATGACAAAAACAAGTTATGATAGGACAGGTTAAATACCCAGTATTCATGTCATGTCTTTTTCGTACCACGGGAATAACGTGGGTCACACCATCACCACTATCGATAACAACACCAGTCAGGGTCCTTTAAAGAAACCCAAAATGTAAATAATTTAAATACTAAAGGTCAATTTAATTTCGCAAAAGAATGTATAAAAATCAGTTACCTGCTTTCCATTGGACGTGAAGTCCAAGAAGCAGCAAGTGCAAGAACGGCTTGCACAGCAATGTAAAGGCCTGGCACGTTGAACGACTCAAATAAAATTTCTGTTAAAAGAAATTATAAATATGAACATCAGTACCACACATTACCCAAATGAGTATATATTATGTATTTAGGATTATTTCCGCCAGTAGTATTATTACCCGCAGTATATTCCCGATTTTCTGGTGTGTTTAGTGGAGGTTCGGTGAGAAGGAAATAATGATCTTCAGGTTCAGCCCGTAGATATTTGAATATACATTGCTCCAAGAATTTCTCCATCAAATCCCAGTCTTCTACCAGACCATGTCGAACAGGATACTAGAATAAAACGGGTGTCATTTAATTCACACATATATATAAGAAAGATTATCGGTTGGATACCTTAACAGCATAACCAGGATTTTCGAAAGCTTCATCTGAATAAATTATAAAAATAAATTATTGAGTGTGAAAACACCATCATTTCTTTTTTTACAACAACAAAACCTTACTCCAATTCCCATTACAACCATGATTATCTTACCTCCAATATAAAAGTCCAAGTCCTCGACTCCCTTGGTTAGCCTCCTACTATTTTGATCCCCCACTTTGGCCGTTTCCTTAATCCCAATGGCGGATGGGAAAATGAACTGTGGTTCCTTATTCCCAGCAAATCCAAGTTTCGTATACCTGTGAAATACGTAAAAACATATTTCCCAAAAAATAACTAGACAAATTTCTGTAATCTTGTAATAAAAACTAATTTACCCCGTCCCCACGTCGATAACACACGCCGGAAGTCTTCCTGCCATATCGCAAGAATTGTCCTTCAGACGTCGGGTCCTTATTTTTGCACGGTGTAATAACCTACGTGTTTTACTACCCCCTCAGAGAAGTAGAGCTTACACCGGCCGGGTATTAAGGAAAAACCCGATTCGGGTTGGATGACAGATGACAGATCAAGTATCAACCCGGTTTTCCTGCATACGTGTATACTTTACAATACAACTACCAACGATTCAAATCTATGAACACGAGGAGATTGAAAATTGATGTCATACCTTGTAGGAATTTTTTAAACACAAATGTCAAATTTATGTGACGAATGACGATCCCAATAGATGAATCCCAACAACCAGCACTTCACTTTATGGGCAGGGATGGATAAACAATTGTGCTTTGACTCACACAGTGAACTATTAGCTGCATTGCTCATCCCAGCTTTCGGTTCAACTCGCAAGAGGCGTAAAAGTAAACCAAAAACCAAGCCTCGTCAGTATTACTCCTTCCTATATGTACATATCACATTATCCACCACGAAATGTATTATCGGAATCGGGATGTGGTTTCACCATGTCAGCGGAATAAATGTCGTGGAACTTAATAATTGAATACATGCTGCATAATTTCATTAAGCAAAACATGAGATTTAATTGAGACATGAGAAATTGATGGAAGCAACGGATGGAGAGAGAAAATGGGGCGAGGCGATACTAATCCTGAAAATGAATTGCTTTTATTTTATAGGATCGATAAAAAAGAAAGTTACACTTACAAAATTATAAATAAGATTAAATTGTTTATTATCTGGCTGGCTGTGATTTAGACTTTGTTGCATTGGGATTAATTAAGTGCGGGTAGTCGTCCCAAAACTTTTGTCCTATAATATCACAATTTAATTCAGTAATAGATTCCATTCGTTCTTCAATTTTTGTTAGTTTGGACTGTTGATCTTCTGCTGAAGAAGCTTGTTTCTGATGATCCGCTGCCTTATCTTTTTGCTGCATGTAATGTTTTCGTGGCATTTTTGGAGACTTTTCCTTCTGCACCAGAACGGTCCCTTTTCTAAAAACTTCTGGTTCTTCATTGTAGTTGATTCCAAACTGAGAAAACAATATTTCATTTTTGTCCCCTGACAAAGTTCCGGAAAGTCTTTTTTCAGCCTGAACATTGATAATTATGTAATTAATTAAATTATGTAAAATTGCCCATTATTATGTGAAGGAACAATGTGATTACCTCATTATTTGTTAGATTTCCTTTAAGAACTAAATTCCAGAATGTTGTGTTGTACAAATTGTTAATGTGACAGTCCGCTTGACGCCAACAAAGGTAATCTATGGATAAAGTAATTCAACGCCAACACCGCTTACTACGTGTATAATTTATGTATACCTCTTAAACTGACATCTGTAGGGTATAAAACTATACGCCCATCAAAGGACGGAGGATATAGGAGTTGCTCATCAGGAAAATACTTGGACCAGTGGAATACGTAAGCTGATGCAAATTTCGATACAAGTGTCGTAATTATCTTTGTTTCACGACGCTCAAAAACCTACACAATTAATCAATCGAATTTGGTCATTAATTAGGAAAGCAAATAAGTATTATAATATGCATACTATGGTTTATTATATAAATAGCTGACGTACATACTTCGGTTTCTCGACGGAAAACAAATGAATATTCATCACTTTGTCCATATCCCAAAATAATGTCCTCGAACTCGTTCAGCACCACCTTTGCGGCATGGTTCATTAAGTTGATCCCACGGAGATCATTTGGACGTGTCCATTTATGAGTTTTTGCAAATTTGTGAAAGCCTGTACAAAATCCAGAGGTGTTGAAGGTGCGATAAAGTAAAAGTTAGAACGTCTCGCGCTTTATTAAAGGTCATGAATATTAAAATAAATAGTTTTATTTACTTACCTCTTCCATCAATTCTCGCAACGGCCCAAGTACCGGGGAGCAGCTTATCGTTGTTGGTCTCGAACTTCCTCACGTATTCCCACTTGGAATGGGCCATATTGCAGGTCGGATGAAAATATCTAACCTGAACAAGATTCGTAACTACCGATGGAATGATAAACTTGTTTGAAAACCAGCTACTAAGAAATATTTCCAAGCAATTCATTCCACTGGGAGGGACCCTAACTTATACTACTCATATCACTCAGAATTAAAATCCCAAAATGTTACAAAACAAAATCTCACAATTTTATGTGCACATGTGAAATAAGAAACTTTTGTAACCAACCTTCCCGTCATTGATTCCTCAATGGTTGATATGTTACGTGATTATGAGTTTTATGCATTTAACAGAGTCAGAATAATGAGAATGAATTTTTTTTATCATTGAAACATTTATTATCTTTATTTGACCAACAAATAAATCTAACTAAATATAAATAAATAAATAGAAAGTGGTGAATGCATAATTCATAAGTCTTTTCACCAGAAGTTTTTCATAGGAAAAATTGTACCAACTAACAACATTTCTGTTGTTACATTTTTGTTTCAACATAAACTAACATTTCATGGAATGATTGCCACCTAAGTAATATATTATCTGTGAATGTAATATACAAGTAACGGAGTCGTTACACCACAAAATGTGAAAAATGAATTTTCATAAACTAAGACCAGTATAAAAAGTACTCACAATCGGAAGCATTCCATTTCAAAGTTCTAAATAGAGAATTTTCAATAATATTTCTAGCCACCTACAACGCCTGCCTATTTCATATTTCTCGCAATGTCGATTTGATTTTTGATGAAACCATCAATTCCGGGGATTCTTCTGCAGAGATTGACGGGAGTAACGCAGTCAATATAGTTGTGTTCCTCAAATTGAACAAAGCAGTACCTATTCTTGTCCTCAGCTTGTATAATACCATACAAAATAAGGGGGTGAAGTCCTTTAATATCTTCAGTGACGACCAGCTTCTAAAATTGAAAATAGTTCTACATTAGAAATAGAAAGTTCAAATTATAATACAATCAGCAGATTTCTTACATGTAATTGATCCTGACTGTTCTCAATATTAAACTGGAGCAACTGAAAATTATTGTTGATCCAAAGTAGAAAATTGTATACGAGTGACAACATTTGCGGCTCACTGAAATTGTCATTTTGTTGTTTCGATATAACGGCAGAGGTTGGTTGATTTTTCGGCTGCATCAAGAGAGGAGTTGAAGGAGAAGGAATCACTGTGATATTATTACGGCGCAGGGGTTGCAAATGACGGGCATTCTGCTTATTGCCTGTCTGCTGAACTGACTTGACCAAGTCGTTGTTTTGGAAAGATAACAACTTTATATTTTGTCCCAAGCTACCAAGAACCTGAATCTGAGGTTTCAGCTTAGCTACTACGTTAGTACGAGAGACAACAGTGCTTGATGCTTTCTTTGTACTACTTTGTACATCAGTCAAGTCAACAGTTGCAACATATTCCAATTTTGGCTTCTTTGCGACAATCTCAATAGAATTTTGTTTCTTTTTCGCTGCTTGTTCTTTTTGTGAGTTTAATTGCTTTAGTCGTGATGTATATTCTGATATGAGTTTTTGACTGCCCTGCATGTTCTCCTCAGGCTCCCAAGAATTGTCTTTTCTACATTAAAATCAAAAGTAAAAATATTTGTATTTTTTCTCGTTTTCTTTAAATTTAATAAAGTTGAACGTTACTCGTCATATCCGGACCACTTGACGAGGAAGTAACGCTTTCCGTTTTCAATTTTCATATCTCGAATCGACTCCACATAAAACTCGCCCTCGTCATTTGTTTCTGCTGGGTCGGTATGATCCGGCCCACTGTTCGTTTTTGTACTATTTTCTGTTGTTTCTGTCCCACCAGCCGTTTGTCCACGTTCAGCAATCCCAGTATTGTTATCGGCCCTACTGCTTCCTGCATTTTTATTTGACGAAACCGAAGTTGTACCTTCATTCTTGGAACTCTGACTACTTTCGCTAATCTTCCGCTTCGTCCCAGTTCTGGCCATCATGAACTAAATTCCGATGAAATGAAATGAAATTAATCGTCTCCAATACTAGACAAAATCATTGATTTAATCCCCTCACCGATCGAATAAACAAGTACAGTAAAACTATTTAATATTATAGCGAACTTTGTCTAGGTTTACTTAAAGGTCACGGTACTATCCACAGCGTGCTGAGGATGAGATAGTCTAGGTTAAACCTAGACAATAGTGCACTCAAATAAAAAAAATGTTACCTTGTTCTTGTAATTAGTTTGGTGTAAATAATGAGACCCCGGCCTATTTGTCCTTTTGTGTTTAATTAGTCACTTGAACTCCAGCAAAATTAACAATTGACTTGATGTGCGTATAGTACAAATTAAATTTTCAGCTATCTTCTGCTGGTGCTGTCTTTTATGAGCTTCGCTGCCTACAACCTGTGCAAAGAAAGGAAACGAAAAATGCATGTGTGCACATGCACTATCAAAAAAACTAGCGCCTTCTGACGTTGTACTTGCACCTTTCCCTCCTCAACTTTCTCCTGATCACCACCCTGAATAATCCTGATTTCGTTGATTAATTATTATAGTAATTGCAATAATTTACAATTTGCTTAACACAATAATACCGTAAGAAACAAAGCATGTGCACGCAAGTAAGTTTGTTCTAATGTTGTCTCACTGTTGGATGGAGGCAAAGTGAGATTAGTATAAATCTCAATAATAATCTCGCTTTGCCTCCATGCTTTACAGATGTGTACAATTGTACATGTGTATGGAATTGGAATGAGACGTTTCTCATTGCTCAATTGGTTAAAAGAAGGTATTAAAATCATTTTATTGTAATAATAATGATTCAATTATGCAACTTTAAAACAAACGAAAAACAGGAAGTCTTTGAATTTTAAGAAGCGTCATTATTTTCTAATGATGAGTTGGGATGCCGGCCACAAACCCACCTAACGTCAGGACGGGACAAAACATTCGTAAAGTTGTTGACGGTGACGTGACGACATTGACAGCTATATGCTCTCGAACCTTTCTTCTTACAGAGTTTTGATGCTAATTTTTCAAAGTCAGGCATGTGATTTCGTAGGAATAAATAATCCGTCGATTGATGCCAAGCGAAGTTGTCAAACGTAACGACAGCAAAGTCACATCGAAGGCATTTTAGATTGTCACATGGCCTGAATTATATGAAAAGTAATTGATTATTTATATAACTCCAAGATTCAGCTACGATTAAATTTATTACTTTTCAGCACCAGGAATGCAAAGTCCCATCACTTCATAACTTCCTGACAAGTAGACTGTAAAACATTTTTTGGATCGTTTCTCGTCATCAGCAACACTTGATGGAATGGGAATCTTTTGTCGGGCCCATGGTTTATTTTTTTCCTTTGAAAATGGATTATTATCCTCAAATTTGAAGTCTTTCAACATTTCATCAACTTCTTTCCAATCCGTCGGATGTTTTGTCGTGCAGGAACAATCCTTGGGGGGCAGTTCTGACAATCGTTTTGCTTCCGGGCTTTTCAAGAACATTTTCTCCACTTTAAGGTCAAGGTCAAGCTGGAATTGAGAAAAATAAGGAGGTTCATTGGCCTGATATTGATGTTTATGTGGCTGCATGTTGGTCTTGATTTAAGGATCAATAATAGAATAAATATACTTACTTGGTCAAGTAAAGCGTCAATTTCTTCCGGCTTTGGACCCCCTAACGACACCCCAGCCATTTTACATGATATTTTAATACTTCAAATCTATCAAACAAATACCGATATCAACATTTTTAAAGATTTATTTTGGATAGTTATGCACAAGAAAGTGAAAGCCGACCAAGCCAAAGATACCTAAAACAGATCGGAAACTCACATGTTGTAGATGATGAGGCGAATGGATGCGTGTTGTGACTTTTTATTGTCATGACAATGCTCGACTACCTCAACGCTAGCCGACTCCAGTCAGGTTTTCCCAACCTACTACTAACTACGAATTTTTAGCCCGAGTCAGGGCTTATGGAACCGTCATGTCCGTCCGTCCGTCCGTCTGTCTGTCTGTCCGGCACGATAGAGCCAAAACGGCTGAACCGATTAACTTGAAATTTATACCATATGCATATTGGACAAAGTTAGGAAACGAGTTCGAAGATGGGCGAAATTGGTCCAGTGGTTGACAGGTGGGGGTCATTGGAGTGGGTGGTATGCACCAAAATTTCAAAATTGTTGTAGAGAGTTTAAATTTGGTACAGAGGTTGCTAATGGCTTCTACTAGATAAAAATGACTTCAAGTTGGAAAAATTTTCATCTTGAGTGACCCTATGGGGTGACCCATTAATACCGATTTTTAAAAATCATCATATCGAACTGAAATTTGGTGGAGAGGTTGCTTATGGGTTTTAATCAAAGAATATGATATGATATTGGTATAATTTTAATCTAGAGAGACCCTATGGGGTGACCCATATCGATTTTTAGAAATTGCTTGAAAAAGACGAAATCCGGCACAATGATACTTAATGGCTTCTAATTAAAGAATATGAAGTTAAAAGTGTGAAGTTAAAAGTGCAACCAGAGTGACCATATGGGGTGACCCATACTGATTTTCCAAATCGTTATATCGAGCTGAAATTTGATATGGAGTGAAAAACAGTGAAAGTGAAAAACACTGCTGGATAGCACATGCATACAGCTTAGAACTCCAGGATGTTAAAGAAGCCCACTGGTCATGGTGGTTAAGGCACATGATTTGTAACTAATTCAAAAATTTGGTACCAAATGGTAGAAACTATATCTAACAAACTTTTAACCATCCACAACCACAACACGGAAGTTGGTGATATTATATCGGTCAATTCGGAAAAAAAATTAGAAGCGGGCTCTGACTCATTGAGTCAGGGACTATGTCCCTGACTCGGGCTATATGGAGTCTGCACTGTAGGTTTTTTCCATTTACTTTTAGTACTTACCAAAAACTAATTCGAGCCGAAAAGTGTCTATGCCAGTGTATAATTTGGACGAAAAAGGCTATATATATATACAAATATCCGTCAAATTGATATGCATTTTCTCACTTTGGGACAATGTTGTTGAGGAGTGAGCAGTCTTGACTTTTCTATGCCTGCTATCTCCAAGAAGCACTTGCAAAAGTCTCACATTGACAGTGTTTCTACATTTCACATTTTTTATTGTTATTATATTGACAAGGTGTTGATGTTTATGTAATACAATGAGTTAAATTGACTCAATTGCATCATATCCAATGAAACTGACTATTCATTCATTAATGCTAACCGTAGTACACTATAGTTTGAAACAGTATTTTCGATTTTATATAATTTAGACGTTACTTTTACAATTTAACTCCTATTTTGTGGCAGCAACCAACGCTTCTGCAACTTCGACAGCAATTTGCGCTGATGCTTTCTCCTTATCCCCCGTTGCTCGGGAAAGCTCCTGCTGTGCGGCTGTGAGTTCTTGTTGGGCTGCAGAGGCATCAATCATGTCCAAAGGTACGGCTTCCTCGGCCAAGATTTGGACTATGGACAAGGGAAAAAATAAATAAATGGATAATATCCATAACATATTCTGTTATGCATGCATTGCACATTATTTCCTTGTAACATTATCCACACTTTTCTGAAACATACCCGACGAGTCTTCATTGACTGTGATGGATCCCGAAGAGACAAAAAACTTTTTGATTGAACTGTCGCCTTCGGTCACAGAGAGAACTCCAGGTTTCAAAACAGCCAAGGTGGGTACATGGTTTGGAAGAATACCAAATGCTCCGGAGAATGAAGGAACGTCTACTTGCTTAATGTTAGCTTTATTGTAGTAAACCTAATAACACATTTTCAAAATGTTTAAAAATAATTCGAAAGTATTCAACGACAGAGAAAATTGTTCCAGAGTTTATATATTGTTAACCTGGTAGGGTGCGGCAAACGTGAATGCCATTTCGTTCCCCGTGGCTGCAGCATACCCCCTGCGGATGACCTGAAGGGAGGCGGACGTCCTCGTTCCCACCCTGCTCAGAAACATTTTCAGTGATTTTTTTTTAATTTCCGAGTTCCGAAATTATTTAGTGATGAACGGGCGGCGAGAGTGAGAGTGAGCGAGTTGAACACGGGGAGGTTTTACAGGATGAGAGAATCACATGCTACGAATCGTAGCGGAGCAGAATGAGATTCAGCTCAAAATTCAACCAAAACACGGGGAAAGTTCCATTTAGGGAAAGTAATACAATTTTATCAGTCTTGTCGGTGTGCTGCTTCGTACTCTTGGTAAGTAATTTAATTAATCCTCCTGTTATTTTGTGTAACTTACCATATTGTATTTTCATGTATATACTTGTGCGGCCAATAGATGTTTCAAATATACCAAATAATTATAATCTTTAAGTTGTACGACTTTTTTTGGTATGCTTTAAAAGTAAACGTAAATTTGCATGTTTCTCAACATTTCATTATCCATGCAATGGGGACCAGACAATATAGGCTAGGGTGACGTAGGCTGATGTAGTGCGATTACTACGTAGTACAGAACATAATTATCTGGTTGAATTTTCAGACAAAATGAGTACCTTTCTCCGCCTTTCTCTCCACATCAAATTTCCACTATCCTCAATTGCCGGCAGTAGACAAATTCACATGACGAACTCACTTTTAGAGTTACGCAAGTTAGCTAGAGTCCGATGCGTTGATAATAGTGCGATTGGAAAGCAGGCCATGGCAGAAGGGAGACCTCCAAAGATTATCCACGTTTACAATAAAAAAGCTATTGCTACGATAGGTATGTGAACAAATCATTCAATCATAGCATGAACATTTACAGGTAATGTTAACTGTAAACTCATTGTATAATTCAGGAGACAAAGTATTGTGTACGGTGAAAGGAGAGATGAAGAAAGCAATTGTGGTTGGAGTAAAGAAACATCAGAGGCATGGTATTCCTCGCAGTGATACCAATAATATTGTATTTATTGATGACAATGGAACACCTCTTGGTACTCGAATCCTTGCCCCAATTCCTATGCTTCTACGCAAAGTATTAAAGGAAAAAACCATTGCAAAAGGCGCAGATTATACCAAAGTTTTAGCGATAGCATCAAGATTTGTATAGCCAGATGATATGACAGAATTATGTATTTTCATGAAGGCCTTCGTTTCAATTTGATCGTCAATAGTTTATTGTTCGTTTGTAATATAATTTAAGTAAGCCATGTTTCTACAAATAATAAAGACTCTTTTTCCTCCTTCAATGGACAGCAACCACAAATACAAGTTACATTTTCATGCAATACATAATATTCAATACCACAGAAAGAGCACCTATTGGACAGTTTTGCACAACCTATAAATTATATATATGTATACTCGCCATTCTGTTTAAAAGGGTACCCTATAATCTATATAAAGGCGTTCACTTTTTTTATCGGTACTGAATTCCAGAGGCACTTCTCTTCTTTAATCACATTGAAATCATGTTTAATATTCATTGGGATAGTCACATAATTCAACTATTTTCAGTCCTTTCCCAATTTTAAGATTTGCGCATTACATAGAAAGGAACACTGATAATTTCGTCAAAAAACTGTTGGAAGGCAGCCTACAGACTAAAATACGTTGAATAATTATCATCGAATTGATGAATAGGAAGCTACAGATACAAGTATCATTTTTTTCTTTTCGTAAACACTAAAATTAGACCAGGTACTCAATGTACAATAGTTTACCACAAAGGTTCTATTTTCCTGAAGCCGTTCTTCCGTAGTTCCCAATATTCTCCGGTAAATTCCCATTGCTCGTCCCCACTACGGCTGTTATTATTTGATTTTCTGGAAAAGATGTAAAAATAACAATCTTAATACAGATCATGTACTAAAGCAATACTAAAGCAATTTTCGTATCTGGACCGAACTGCGAACATACCTAAACCAGGACGGGACAATTGGTTTGTTTTCTTCCTCTCTTTGTTTTCGTCGATCTCTCTGCATCTGCTCTATTTGAAGTTTCATGGCTTCTGCTTCACTCAGATTCCCTTCTTCAAGAAGACGTTGATCTGGTCTAAATCTATAGTATGCAATAATTAATATTAAAGTTTAGGATGACAGAAAGCAGTGACATGGAAGAACACTTTAAAAAACTTACCGAGTATCTGTAATTGGAAGTCTTTCTCGAAGTTGAGGAGTCAATTCATTTAATTCAATCGCGAATCGCGAAAATCCATAATATCGGTTATGGTCGTCTGGCATATTAGCTATTTAAAATCAAAAGGCAATATATTAACTGGGCCACTTCACCACTGCGCAACGTAAATAAACCAACCTAATCTCCAAATGCATCTAGCGTTAGGTGATTGTCCTACATAGAACGCTTCATTCCAATGTCTAAATATTCGGATAACCTTGGGTTCAATTTTGCAAAAGAACAATATAAAAAATATTTTAAAAAAACTTACCCATAAAGATTTCGTAATGTAACCCCTTCGCTATTCACAATAGTTCCAAAAACTTCATTTTTCTTGGCTGACCAATAGGAAACCTATGCGTCGAAAACCAGTTAAAAATCATGTTAAGTGCATATATATCCAAATGTCAATTATATATGTATAAACTGAGTAATTAATTGAAAATATATATAATACCTTGACAAATGTAAGGTTACAAGTAATCGAACCAGAAGCAATAACAACTTCGCCATATAAATCAACCCATCGACTCGGAGGCGAAAAAACGTTATGCACACACGTCGTGGCTTTATTGTATGAATAATGTTCACCCCACTTTGGAAGAATAATGTGATTTTCTCCTATTGGTTGAATTTCCTATATAAAATTAATTTTTGATGATCCATGACATGACACAATTTTTTTGTAATTTCTTAATAGTTTACCATTGACTTTCCCCAAAACTTAGTCTTTGGTTGAATTTCTTCCCAGAACATCCAGCCTCGCCCTTCCGCATGACCTATTTTAAAATTACAGTGACAAATTTTGCTGATAATGACTTTTATAATACGTCGGAAGTATATATTTCTTACCTGCACTCACTGGTGGATGATGGGACACCTATAATGGGGAAATTGTACAGTTAATTGTTCATTCCATATATACTTCTCATAATATGCATGGATAGTACACCCGTATACCTGTTCACTTATAAATCGAAATCCTTTGTCCTCACGAACACACTCAAATGTCTCCCCATGAAGCGGGTTGAACGGTTTGTGGGACCGGTAGTATGCGGTAGCATAGCCGGAAACTGCAAATGCTGCAGGAAGAGAGTTCAATAAACTTCATTGACTTTCACTCAGAAAATGCTGGCTCGCTCACTCGTTCCTCTCTCCATCCCCCTCATAGTTCTTAGTTCTCGTATTAATTAATTTCAAATTTAGTAATAATTAATAAAAATTGTTATACCACAATGAAGGTAAGTGTTCCACATTTAAATATATATATTTCCTATTGATAATTACATTTAATTAATTTTCATTGCAGCGGAGCATTGAATTAGAGCAACCCTCCGACTCTGACGAGGAGGAATATGAGGAAATGTCGACACAGAAGTTGAAGAAGATAATCGATGAGGGCGGATTGTCCCAAACAACAACGACCCAACTATTGGGTATCTTTGTCAAGAAAGTTGACGAAAGGGATGCAAAGTTGGGTACGTTTGTAAAAGCATACAATGTGATTTGTAATAATAAATTATGCTTGTAGCTGGCAAAGCTGTTCAATCGACTTCTGGTACTGATGTCCCAACCTCACGTTTAAAGGCAGTAAGGGATGCAGTTAAGGCACGGATTTCATTTGAGGGGAAAGATGAAGACATGGTCCAAGATCCTGGTTTCAAACAGGCTATGGAATCGCTAAAAGAGAATCCCATCACAACAATGTTCAAGGGAGTCATTCTCCCCGTTTTATGGGATATAAAGCGCTCCAGATTGGGATTCCATGACCCCACCCCCTTTAAAAAATGTCCAAGAGGGAATGATGTTTACAAATGCCAAGTTGATTTCTGTTGGATAGATGAGAAGTCGCCAAAATGGAACTACTGTGTGACCCATTCCAGTAGCCAAATCTACTTCGTTCAAGATATTACAAGTAATACCACCACCGTCGCGATCATACACCCACAGGTTTCAAAAATTAATGGTTATACGGACAAGGAATTGAATAAGTATTCTAAATCTGCAACTGCTAAGACGCACGCGATCTCCGTCTACAACTATATGGAGTTGAACAAAAAGGCTGATCTCCGCTCGTTCCAAAACCTGAATTATTCGACGGAAAGTTTGTTGGCAGGGGAAGGAAATCATCATAACAAGGTATGATGAAAATTGTTATGCATGAAATATTGTCATTAATATCACCATGTTCTGTTATTCATGCAGGTGGCCATGAGTATGATGACAATGATGCACAACTCCGTCTGTCATGTGGAAGATCGGGTGAAATTCATCAATCAAGAGATTATCTTTCGGAATAGTGATGGATTTCAAAAGGACTTTTTCGAAAAGTTGCGAAAAGTACTTGAACTAAACAAGTTTATATTTAAAATCACGGGTGAGAAAAAGTCTACGACAATTCTGCCACAGTCCCTGGTTCCAACAGTTTCCTACCCAAAACTGCCCAGTTCATACCTTGCTCGCGACAACAACACTGGAGAAATATATTCCGGGCTAAGATATGGGATGGAGAGGGGGAGGGGTGTTGCATCAATAGGCCATAAAAGATCCAAGAAGACAGGGCTGACTGGGTTCGATAAGAGCCAAATAAAACGGATTTATCAATTTGCTCACCCCCGTGCTGATCTAATAAAGGATAACAACTCTTATACGAGATTCTCAGTGGATGAGAAAAATATCCATGAAGAAATGAAAATACAAGCACACCGCATTGAAACACTTGGACACATCTCGTCACTATTCGCCCAGATGCTTGGACTGAAGATCAACGGTCATGATATTATTTTCTTGTGTCAGAAGTATCAGCATTTTGATGATTCATTTTCAGAAGTATTGTTGAATGAAGTATTTGGTTATATGTACGGAGAAGTATTGGCAATAGATATCCCCATTGTGGCCAAGGATGATAAAGGGGAGCTCATTTGGAAATTTCTCATGTAATTAGTTGATCTATTTTATGCTAAACATTGTTATTAAATAAAAATTGCTTTATTCTTCACTTACCTGCAATCATGGCCATCCGCTCTATGGGATCACTTTCTTTACCTAATTATAACATTGATTTCGTTTATATATGGTGCACTCTGACAAACACCAATGCTTGATCTTCTTACTAGCATTATCCAGAAGTTCGCTGTATTCCAATTCTTCACACATCCTTTGCAAAACTCCTAGTGGTTCGTTTAAGGCTACAGGCATGGAAATACCTTAAAAATTATAAAAAAACATAACTTTTCAATGGTGATTACATAATAATGTCATTCTGTTCTGTATTGTTTGTTTGGATGATAAACTTTGTATGATACAACTGATGAATCTTACGGGACAAATCCTTTCCAATGTTTTTTCGAAGAATCCCCCATAACGAAGGAACTTCAGAACCAGATGGTGCCGCAACGGGCAACTTTGTCCTTCGTTCTTCCCGAACAATGGGCTCTATTGGTAAGTCAGAAGCACCATTACTACTACTGGCGCCAGATATTGACTTTATTTCGGAACCGTGTGAATTGGCTGTAGATTGATCTATGCAAAACGGGTGCAAAGCAAAAATCAAATTTCAAACGATTATATCGTGCTCATGCGTGTGTTATTAGGTGTTAAGAAGAGTGTTTTATAGCAAATTTTGCAAATGAAAAACGTACTTATAAAGTGATACATGTGTTATATGTAAGTATGTATGTTATGGAAAGCTTGAATTAGGATAAAAAGAACTTACCAAACTTAGAATTTTCGGATGTTTCGCTGTTAATTGAGTCAGCTTCACCTTCTCCTTCAGACGAGAAACTTTCTTCGTCCGAAGATGTTCGGTCATCCTTGTTGTTGTCCATAGCGTCATAGTATTCTGAGTTTGACATTGAGCTGCTGTATGACTTCATCTGTACATGAAATGCACAAATCTTATCTAAACACTTCATAGTAAAAATGGCATATTTTTATTATTATTACAGTGTCCGAATTTGCTGGAGCGATTGAAAAGTTGGAAGTTTCAAATGCAGAGTCTCGATGAATTCTCGCGAGTCTCGACTTTAACTCTGCGTTCTGTTGCAGTGCTTGATTTAATGCTAAACGCAAAGTTGTAGATCCTCCATCATTATTTCCCATAGTTCTAAGCATCCCTCGAACGTTATTAAGGTTAACCAGAACTGAAATTAAATGGAATATGTTAATAGTTAGAAATAATCTGGCTAATTTGAAAGTTAATAATTTGTGAGAGATATACCCTCTTTTGCAAGAACGAGATAATCCCGCTTATTGTCATCATCTTTATCCTTTTTGGAATGAGGAATAGCATCAAGAATTCCTTGAAGGTGACTCAAATCCTTGGAAAGTAAATTTAATTCCTTGTCGATGTCTTTTCCATCTCCTGAAGGCGTTGTTGGGGACACGATATCTTCCACTGGGGACGACAAGTCCTTGAATGAAAGTACATGTTGCCTGTACAATCGATGTTGCTTTAATTGTTCCAGCCATTCCATGTACGTCTCTTTGGGTTTGATTTTCAAATGGTAGATACAATCTTCAGCGTCAATGTCTACTCGACCATCTCGAGGTTTCGTCGTTATAACCTGTTTATAAAATCATTAGAATCGTTTGGGTAAGTTTGTATATCGCTTTATGGGGAAATTCGGTACAATTTAAGAGCTTGCATACTTTGGATCGGATAAATCTACTCAGAATACATAGGGTAAATAAGAGTGGGTTACTCTTATTTAAATATTCGTGTATATATAGGATACCATTTATTTGGTTATGAGTCACTCTATTATACCTGTTTTAGACCTATATTCTATAGGGGCTATAAGTATCATTAAACTTACGGATAATCCAGTATCCAGACTCCCATGAATTTTACCCCGTGCAATGTCCCATCCACTTTTTCCATAGACTATCACCCCCTTTTCCAACATGAAATATCTCTGAAAAGGAAAAAAATACCTCGTGATGATCCATTCTACAGTAGATTATCAGGAACATTGAAATGAACCGTGTATGGTGCATAAATGAAGTGATAGCCTAGACAGTACCTTGTGGTAGCCTTTCAAGGGCCATTTCCGTTTTTTGAGGATGAATCCCTCGAATTTTTTTGGAATGCGGTCATACGTCTGCCCCTCCTTCAATCCCTCGAGAATCTCCCAATCTGACCTCCCCGACCTCTTCTTCGCTTTTCCACGTGGTGGGGGGAGAGGGGGGTTCGAAGGAGGTGGCACGGAGGCCCCCCCTCCGCTCACAACCACCCCAGTACTGCTGCTATCACAACTTCCCTCCTAAATAAATCAGGGTCAGTTTAATTCAAAGTCAAAAATAAGTACTACAAACTATGCAAAATAAGCGTTATTTCATTGACTACCATAACAAACCAGCAAGAATTTTAACTTTTAGATTTTTAAGTTTTATGGTTCAAAATTGTTTAATTCGGCATGGCGTGTACGACTTACAGAAAACACGCCAGGTTTTTACTTGTAAAATAATTCTAGTAAGAAATTCTATTATTGAAAAAGAATATCCATAACCAACGTGAACAAATGAATAACATGGACAAGTTATGTTCTTAGGTTCGGTTTAATGCAAACTTTGCAAGGGGACGAATGCATACTATTATGTGTTCTATATCTAACCATAGAAAATATATACGATTAATGGACATCGTTGGTGTCAATTAATCGGGCTCTTGTAATGCAAAATTACTTGATAGATACTTATCAAGCTCTACCTGTCATACAAAGAGCAAATAAATGAAATGAAATAAAGCTACAAAATTCCTGCCGCTTACATCGTCAGACTCGTGATGTCTTGAGCTCATGGCGTTCGAATGGAATGACATTGCCGAACAGTGCTTGTCCACTTCTGACAGACAATATGAACAAACTACCGCACACGGTTGTGGACATAAAAATAATTATTGCTACTTAGGAAGACGAGGACGTGTACTTATTTAGTTATTAATAGGAATCGGTATTCGTGTATTTTTGCAGTAATAATTATTATTAGATTAGTTAAGTGTAATTCTCAGGTTTAAAGTTTTTGAGTATATCAGTAAATTTTTCTAAGCTACAAAACTTCACAAAAAATTGTGCCTTTGACTGTAGCTTCACACAATCGACTACAATTCAGCATAAAGTAATTAGATAAAAACCATTAACGTTCACACATAAAATACACAATGACGATTATTAAAATTATAAATGTTTTTTAAACATTATTTTATCACATTCGGAAAATCACAAACTGTTTTAATTATAGCCCGTATAGTATTGACTTGAACCTTGGATTTATGACGAAACGAAAATTTATGTCGATTCTTGAACAACTTAATGATTATAATAGTCTGACCGGAGAAATCCTATGACTCCAACAGGCAGGCAATCAAACTTGTTGATATCTATTTTGGAGTGCTCAAATGGACTTGGGACGATAAATCAGATAATAAAACCGAGCCGTTTTTTCTCAACGAAATTAAGGTCAAAGCTGAGCAAAAACTTGTTGCACTTTGATTTTGATAATACGCAGAGAGAGCATAATACAGCGAGTTTGACAGGTAATGATGAAGGTTATGATTACGTGTGACGAGTAAACCAAGTGGTGATTATCTTTTGTTGTGAATTAGTTGTAGATAAATGTATAACTCATCGTAGTAGTAATACTATTACCACACTCTGCATAGTCACTGTTGTTGTAACAGAACCTGACAAACTTTTGCTGTAACTTGAGCATTTAAAAGTGAAGCATGGATCAGTCAAATTTGATGTTCAAACTTTGAGCACAATGTTTAAGTTGATTGATGAAAATTTGAAGGCAAAATATTCGATGCTGGGTATCATCACTATTCATAATAAGCCACGGCGTGTTGCTTAATTTCCTCTGTCTACCATGAATCATGTCATGGTTTAAATTATAAATTGCACGCAATCGACGCCTGTTACTGCTTTCACTACACCTTTCTCGCTCTCTCTCCAATACATGCAGACGTTTTAATGGATTTCCGGTTGTCTGTTATCTGTCAGTCATTGGTGGCAAGTGTGGAGGGATCCTTATATCTCAGGGTCCGGTGGTTAATAATCGTCTTTATCTATCAACATGACACATAAATATAAGTATTGCTTCTGATGATGATTTATATTAGCCTAATCTAACGACTTGTGAATTTTAAATATTAGCACTTGGTTAAATAGATATTAACCCCATATTCTCTAATTTGATTAGCCAAGTAGCAACGTTTAATTCAATTAGCAAAATTCCTTGTTATGTAAGATTTTACCGTTAATTTGATCGATCTGAGAGCTCTGCTGAGACCAAAATGACTATTTTAAACTAAGGGAAACTGATACATTATTTTATTTTGCTGCAATTATAATTGGAGGACCGATTTCCAGTCAAACCAAACCAATACAAATTATAGTTGCATTTGATTTATGCCAAAAAGTTCCGCATTGCAGAACAGTTTTGCTGATTTGTAGGAACAAATCGCGAGTACAACCAAGCAACCCTGCTGTTGGTTTATGTTATACTGCAGAAAAACTCGATAGAATTTAACATCCACAAAAAACTTACACAAGTCTCATCCTCTTTCGAGTTGTGAGAACCATTGGCTAAATCAAAGTTCTCCGTATGCCAATGAATGCAGCGACCTTTAGACTTTAGAAATTAAGTATTTTAGATGCGATGGACACTGAGGATTTGGTGTATGTGAATAATTACGAATTTACGAAAAAAATGTGCTTCATATACTAAATAAATGGTCTGGCGATAATATAATTTTTATATTATTGAGTTTCATTCAAGTAATATGCATTCTCAAACCGTTATTACAATGCATTTAAGTGTGTAGCATGCATGTTGTAAAAGTCCTTCAACAACAATTAACGTACATATATATGTACTATATGTGGTACTAGGGCAAATGGTGCTTGAGACTCGCACAGCAAAATCAACTAAACTAGAAAATATATAAACAAGAATGAATGAATTTAATTGAATTTTATGTTATGCATACGTAATTCCATCTATCAATATCACAGATCATGCGAAAATCTAGTTCTTATTTAGTAGCATAAACAACCTTTGTTATTTCAACTAAAACATTACTCTAGCATACCTTGAAGTATTGAAATGATATGTGATTGTGTCATAGTGATAACTTCTTTTTCATCCATTACTATTATTAAGGCCTTTTATTATTATATTTACAACTCGTTGAGCCTGCATGCATGAAATATTCATAAAAATTATATTTCCTTCGCATATTATTTCTCTTCAATTGCATCCCAATTAAATAGATCATGAGCTATAATTTTCTAAAATTGTGAAATGGCAAGCCCATTTCAAGGACCAAGCCAACCAAAACGAAACACATTTATCGATATTGAATTGAATTGTCAATGAAATTATGTATGCACAATGTTCCCCAAATCCGCCTAATTTTTAATTGAGTACTGAAATACTTAATTTTGCCTGCATGCATATATTTATTTGGGAATACATCACTGATAGTACTGAATCAGTACTATCAGTGATGCATTCCAGTTCCTGAAATCAGTACTACTGATTTCAGGGTTGTTGATTTGGAAAGTTTATCATCTTCAGCATATACTCAAAGATTTTCAAATGATCAAATTTTTTTCGGAAAGATATGCTGCATAAATGCAATAATTGTATTACAATTATTTAATTACAAAGTTTAATAACTGATTCTTCGTATGAAAACATTCGATCTCAATGCTGGCGTCGCATAGAGTAAAACTTCAAAATTCGCCAACTGGCTTACATTGCATACAGCGTGTTTGTACTAAATTGTACTTCACGATTTATACCAACACACGCTATACCAGATATCTGACTACCACCACCATGCACCTTTTTGAATGAACAAGTTAGAAACCCATAAGAAGTATGTATATAAATTGTCCTCTTCTCAGAAGAGACCCCGCTTCACGGCCTTATTTAACAGGAAAAAGATTATTAAAATCGGGTAAATTGTAACAATAATATCATGGGTCTACCTGTATCGTTAGTAGATTAGACTAACGAAATAGACTACGCTTGTTCTACAAGTAATAAAACTTCATAGAAGGTGGCTGCATAATAACCAATATTTGGAATACATTTACGGTTTGTGTAGGGCGGTTTAATAAGCGTTGTCCACACAACACATCAACACCATGTCAAATGTTATGGAGAGGCGAAGCGAACATTGACTTTACGAGTCGCGATAAGTGTATGGCCAATACTCACCTTTGTTAATTGGTTCTTTTATATATTCTGAACTTATTGCTGGGAAATAAAAGTGCAAAAATGTCATCGAAAGACCCCATGGTTGGGGACAAGCTGCTGTCCAGCCTTCGGTAAGCTAACAAAGTAGAGAATTTTAAAAGGGTTAAGTTTATCTATCATATTCCGAAAAATAGTGTGGTAGACTTGAAGGAGGAGCTGGAGAAACGAAGCCTCTCAAAGTCTGGCACCAAGAAGGATCTGGCGGATCGTCTTCGAAATGTGAGCACATTTAAAAGCTGACGATATTAATTGACCATTCGTTATGTTATTCAATCTCGTTCTCCTCTCAAATCTCAACTCTAACAAATTCTCGCTCTCTCGCTGTCAACAATTTTGGTTCCAGCGGTAGAAGCTCAATTTTGTTCTGTCGACTTTTACTGCACATTTGCACACTCCACTTGGTTCACAAATCACGCTCATCTCTCGAGTCGAACAAATGTTATTGAATACCTATATTTGTACTTCGGATTTCAACCTTTAGTTTTTATTGTATAGTTTAGTTTACACCGTATTCTTCAAAAGTCCACGTGTGCCCACCACGAGATTGAATTATTGTTTAGTTTATATACAACCCCAACCAACTTCTTTTCAGTTAATTTTATTTTTCGTACCCTTAAAAATAAAATAAAAACTCAATAGGTATAAGTCTGTTGCTTTGTTTATGTTGGTCATATATTATACGTATATATTTGCTTATATTTAGTTCATAAATTCTCATAATTAGAACTTATTTACATATTTCACAGTATATTGTTCAACATGAACAAAAAGAGCCGGTTGTAGCCGCCCCACCCGTATTAGACGAGGATGAGCTTCCGAGCATATCGGTAAGGAAAACGACAAGTGCAAATTGTTAAAGTAAAAACATTGTATGTGATAGGATTTATAAATAATAAGTTTGAAATGTAATTTTATCAGATGCAAGAAAAACAACTGTTGGCAGAAAAAAATCCATTTTTAAGAGACTATTTTGCATCTCAAGCAGAGTTATTTCATTCACAGAAAGTCGCGAAAAAGTTGCTTTTAGAAGGTATGCGATTTAATGAACACGTTTTACAATTGGAGCTGAGTATCAGATTAAATATTGCTACAAAACGTTCATATTATTTTCATAGAAGAAGCGAGACGTGAATCGGAAACAAGTGCACCAAGTGCTGACGAAGGAGGCGAAAGCTCAGCTGCAGAGGACAAGGATTTAAACAGCAGCACGGAGGAACTTAGTTCAGGGAAAGTAAAGCAACTTGCCAAAAAGTTTGAAAATAATAGTGCAAAAGAAACCCCACCCATTAGTAAAGAACAAGTCCCTTCGACACCGCCGCCAGCTTTGCGAGCGAGCCCTGTCAGAAAATCTGAAACGCCTACGCCTCCCCAAGTTGTACAACCTTTCAAGACCACTCGACAACGGCAGCTAGAGAATTTAGCTAAAAAGGCCGAGTCTAGCAAGATTGTGGAAGCATCAAAACCATCTCCTGAAAAATCTGTAGACATGGTGGAAAAAGTTGTTGCACAAAAACCGATTGATGCGTCGCCAAAAGCAGAGTCTCCGGCTTCTTCGTCTTCATCGTCAAGATCACGATCCGTGTCAAGGTATGACTTGTATTCAGCTGACCTTGTTAGATTAAATGTTTGATATATCGTTGTTGTATAAATATATATCATTACTATGCTAATTTTTTGCACCCACTTTAGATCGAGATCTAATTCCCCAGAATCAGACCACCGTGAACGAAATACCGAGAAGCCTTATACAGAAGGTAATGTTATTAAATTGTTAATATGCAATTAGCAATAATGTGTTACTAATTTGTACTTGATAACCAATTAATACTTCATTTTCTCCTTACCAGATGCCAAGCCAGAACCAGAGGAAGAACAGCATTCCCCGCCGAGCGACGATAATGAAGTCAATGAAAGACAACTACCACTTGGAAGTAATGGGAATGTAAAAAAGTTGGCTGAGAAATTTGAGAATAAAATTGATGATTCTGTCAAAACACCATCGCCAATCAAAAAAGTAATAGAAAAAACTGTTGAAACTAATGAGGCTGAAATGGAAACTGTTGCTACTGTTGAGGAAGAAGATAAGACAGAATCTGTGGCATCCCGGTCTAGGTCCACTTCCAGATCTAGATCCCCGTAAGACATGTTTACTAAACTATGCATTGTTTTTTTCAAGTACATGATTACTGATTATTTTGTTGTTTAAAACTTAGATCCCTTGAAAAAGAACGTAAGTTGATTGTCCCATCATCGAATCATTACGGATTTTAAAGATACTAAAAATCAAACATAATTAATTATGTGCTTTGTTGATTTATTTGCAGCCGCTGTAGAACAACATGATGAGCAACCAAAGGAAGATGAAGATAGTCATCAAAAAAATGGAGAAACGTCTGTGGTAGACGCAATAACGGCTGTTGCTAACGAAGAGAATGCCGACATTGAATGTACAAAAATTGATTCCTCGACAAAGTCTTTGGAAAATAAAATAGACACTAAACCGGAACAAAAGTAAGTCGTGTACAATTTATCTTAATTCCACTTTGTCAGACTAGTATGCTACTGAAGTAGTACATTATGTACTACTTCATACAACGAAATGAGGGGGGTCAAGGGGGTCGACGGACCCCTTGAATATCGAAATTATAACATGGGGCTAATGAACAAGCACTAGATATAATACGATTTTAGGGTCTCCAGACCCCCTGGCCCACCCATGACATTTCGATGTACTGTACATAGCCATTGCTTGATAAAAATTCAAGAAATTAGGATAATTGATAACCATTTACAATGTTAATATGTGCATAGGGTTACAGCAAGGAATGACATGGTATTGTCTGCCCCAATAGAAGACGAAGAAATGTTGGACTATGGTGAGGAAGAAAAACTTCAGAGCGAACCTCCCAAATTTTACTGGACAAGAAGAGTGCTTCGTATAAAAAACAGACATATTTCTAAACCTCAAGAAAATAAATGGAAGAGGGAAATTGACATTAAAGCAGCCGAAAATATTAATTCCGAACTTATGTCGGTATGTAATGCAATATTGCAGTATCACTTATTTTTTATAAGATCCTTTATGTGAACCATGAATATTCATAAAAGAGTTTTTGAATTTCAGGAATGGTTTCCAAATGTCCGACTTTCTCCTGCTGTTGAATTTAAAGAAGACAAGCCGGATAAATCTCCACCAGAAACACAAGACGAACAAGATGTTCGTTTCACTAGAACGTTTTCTATTGAGTCAGAAGAAGGTGCAGTAACATCTATGAAAATGGAGAACATTACAATTACAAGGAGGGTTAGTCTAGTTCCAATGGTAATTTTACTACTTTATTATATTACTCTCACTGACCTGTTGTCTTATGATTCTAATGAAACGAAATTCGGATTATGTTCATTATAGATATCAACTCAGAACGATAACGATGTCGATAAAGATTTATCACCTGCTAGAAATCCTCCATCAGAAATCATTTTAGTGTCAAATTTGACAAGACCATTCACCCTTCCACAACTAAGGGAACTGCTTCAGCGCACTGGAACCTTGGAAGATTTGTGGGTGGATAAGATAAAGTCAAAATGTATTGCGAAGGTGAGTTATGTTTTTTTTTAAATTGAAAATGCTTATGTCTATAATGTAATGTGGCTGGGTATTTATATTAGGCGTATCATAATTAAATATTTATTTACCTCTGCAGTACGAAAAACAAGAAGACGCCTTTGAAACAAGGGCGGCCCTACATGGAGTAAACTGGCCCCCATCAAATCCAAAAGCATTACAGGTTGACTATACTACAGAAGAAACATTAGTCGAGTACAAAGCTCGTGATGCTGGTGAAATCAAGCCTGCTGTTATAGAAAAGCCTGTGGTACGTAATTTTAATAATAATCAAACTGTTTCTCGTTTTTCATCTAAACAAAGTTTTTTTAAATTCTGGTGCAGACGGCTGAAAATTTGCCAGTTCGAGAATGGGATATGGGAAAGCGGCAAATTCCCTCCCCCAAAAGGAGGAGGAGCAAATCAACAAGTAGGGATCGGAAAAGATCTCGAAGATCTGAGTCTCCTCTTAACCGCAGGCGACATTCCCGCTCTCCTCAAAATGGTAAGTCTAGATATAAAATTCGCATTAAACAAGTTTGAATATAATTGATTGATGACCTATTACCAAAATTAAAAATTCACATAAAACTCGTCATACTTCAGGGCGGAGATCTCGAGGACAGGCAAAAGATAACGAACCGTTGGGCAAAGCCTTGGATGAACTGTTTAGAAAAACAGTGGCTATCCCATCTATTTACTGGTTACCTCTTACTCCTGCTCAGGTACGCATTTTCTAATCAAATGAATTTAGAAACTTTATGATAATACTAATGGAGTAACGTTTTTTGCAGATTGCAGAGAAAGAGGAATTGCGAAGAAAGAGAATGATAGAGAGAGAGAGACGTTTAGCAGAAATGAACAAGATACGCCCCCGTTAAGCCAACATGCATGCTAAACATTGCAACATTAAAGAATTTACACCCCCTCCATTTCCATTACTCATCCCAATCCCATCCCTTAACCTATCTTTTCCTGCATGTATCCACGTTTCCTGGGTTAGGCTCACTTCACAAAAGATCATTTATCGTTCTAGGTTTCTTTTAGGTTTTTACAGGTACTCGAGGGAGCTGTCAACGGATTTCAAGAGCGGATCCTGCTTTTCCAAGGGAAATTGTTCCCATATTATAATATGACTGGCTGGAATCGAGTGAGACGATTACCTATTTGTAGATGTCGTATGAATGCGAATTATCAAAATTTAAATGTGTTATTTTTTGTTATGTCAACTTTCTCAGCAATGTTATGCCACACTACTGTCAGTTTTAACACCAATCAATCATACCCATGCATTGAGTTGAGTGAGTGGTTCAATGAATACCTTGAGAAAGTATTGAAAATACAGTTCATGAATTGATGAGACATGTAGAGTTGTTCGGAACTACCAATAAAGTGATTCCTTAGTAATATCAATAAGCGCACGCCGCTAATCGTCTTATTCCTTTCACATGTCGAAGATAGCTCTCGTTATTATATGACAATATTGCAAATTATGTTTCAAGCAAAGTATACTGGATATGCCATTTTCTACGTACGCTAATGTAATCCATCCATGCATCAGTCAGTAGTACTGATTCCGTACTATGCGTCTTACATCAAACGCATAGATCACAACCCTGTTCCTTCCTAGCCATGAATTTGTACATAGTACCATAGTGAATACTCTAAAGGTAACACTGGTGCCGAACTAATTTTGAATTGAATTGGACAAAAAGTAATGGACGATAGTCCAAGTTAAAACGAACCATAACAGCTTTGGACGACAATTAAAATTAAAATTAGTAAACGAAATAAACCACCACTGACCAGATCTGTCTCCAAAAAGCAGCAATACCACCGGGTTTCAGAAATGTTATTTTTTATCGGTGTTCAGTTCCCGAAATCCAAATTCAGTTAAATATTTTTCAAACCTGAAACTTTTTTTTATTCTAGTCATCCTCATACATAATAAATATCATATTGGAGTAAAAAAAATTGCGTACACCTCGTTAATCAATATTATTATTTTTTAATTCAACCATCATGTGCTGTGCGACTGATCTACAAAATGAGTAAAATAACCCACATTCTGATTCGTCCTTAACTATTTATTGCTAAGGACGCGTTATAGCTGCACCCCAAAGTTGATGTCAAGTGGTCTACATACGGCCTTGACTACCCTCATGTTGACTCATCATACAAGCTGTGTCTTCCCGTGGTCTTCTCTTAAATATGTCATCCAAATCACAGCATAAAAAAATCATAAGCAAGTGCAGAATTTTGGCTAATATCACTTACGACATATATTTTTTGAGACGCATTGATTGAATATACAAAATTACGTTCAGCATATCGTCCCATGTAGCGTGCAACAAATTTCTAATTTTGGTAATTTGACCTATTATATGTTTCAAATTGAATTCTTAATTAAGAGGAAGTGGATGTCCAATTCGTTCAAATGATAAAGTGCACATAAATTCACAAAAGCATCCACGAGTCCGTTAATGCACAGTATGCATAACTGATTATTCAAACTTCTCATTTTCATTAGACAATAGTCCAATCTGAAGTGGCAAATAATTGACAGCACGTTCTTGGCTTGGAGACCGTTGTTGGGTGCAGCGTGGGCAATGCGTACCGACGCAAGCAAGTTGCTCGTGAGGAGTCAACCTCACCAACAGTAATAAACATATAATAATAATACAACTACATATAATAATAACAAACAAGACTGACCCCTTTCCTTCATTAAACGTGATGTTGCCTGCACCACGTATATAAATTGCTTCGAGCCATGTGCACTTTTGCTTTTTTTTGCTTATGGCTCTGTTTGGAATAGTTTTGACCCATTCATTTAGCGTTAGATCTTCACTTTCTTGCTATGGATAATCCCATTGAGACCACACGTATGACCAACATTAGCCGTTTTGTCTGTGTATGCATGTGGGTTGAATTTGGATATTTAATGCGAAGGGACGGATGAATAACTACAATTCATTAATTGCATGAATATATATAAACTGGCGATTCTTCGCTAGGGCTTGTGCGCCATATAGCACACAATGGAAATAAAATTGTGAATGAGATGTGTCAAGTGAAAGTATTGTGGCTGCACATTGATATTCACGTTAGTTGTGATCTGCTGATATCCCAAGATTGTTGTTACATAAGAGAGTGAGCAGTTGACGGCGTGGTTGTACGTAATTGCATCTGAGCCTTAGTTTGTAGACGCCATATAATAAATAAATATACGCCATCCCGGTGCCCGCGGTTTTCATCATGTCGTCAAAATCTTAGAAAAACCTGGATTTTAGATGCACTTGTGAAATGGAACTGCCAGTAATTTGAAAAATAACTGTTCTTCTACGCCGAACGTGTAGAAATATAATTATGACGCACGTCCAGGAATAATCAATCACACCCAAGCCATGTTTATTCCTTTGGTGTTTTGGATTTTTATAATAATTTTAGTACTTCCTGTGTACGTTCTAGTGCTGACTCCATTGGCAGTATGGCGTCTTTGTGTCAATTTAATAGCTTATCTGACAAGACCAGATATTGTAGCGTCCTTAGATTCCCGGGACTTGGTATTTACCGGTGATGATTATTATGGCAGGGCACGAAAGTCGGTGATAAGCTCAATCATTTTAAATGGTCCTGCAACCCTAAATACGCTTAAAGAGAGGTACTAATCAAGACACAAAACTCGTAAATAATCTAAATAATCGTAACTTCATTATCATGTTAATTAATTTCCTATAGGTTCACCAAAAATGTGTTGGATAAGCCTCACTTTTTCAAAATGCGTTCCAGACCGTATGTATTCATGGGGTATTGGTTCTGGCGTCACGTGGAAATTCAGGTGTGTGCAATGTGTTTAGTTCCTACAACTCGTGTAACCATTTATATTTATTATATGCACAATTATTCATTTTTGACGGACTGAAACTTGAAGTCATAATTTATTAGTTCAACAATTAATTAGTAAAATGTAAAGTCATAGCATACTACTTCCTAATGTTTCTACTTTGCAATAACTGCATTTAACTGTAATAACTGGTAGGTAATAATTTAGATCAACTAGAAAAAATGTGTCAGTTTTTAACAGAATTGAAAAATAGTGGCATTGTTGGCGAAAATTCATAGAAAAATAAATGCATTACATTCGCCACACGATGTTGCGCCAACTAACCATAAATTATATCTCAGCATTGTCTGCATTTTCCACAAATTGTTGTTAGACTGCCAGTCATGTCTTTGGCCTATAATACAAGCAGACCGGCATGATATTGGCCAAGGTCGACCAAATCAAATCTGCAAGCTTGCACACTCACTTACTTGGATTTTTTTCTTGGATGGAATCGTCGGCAAATATTGAACTTACTGAGATCAATTTAAGTATGCTTTTCTACTAAAAACTATAGCTTCCAAACTTGCTTGTTTATAAATATGAGCAAGAAGGGATGCATTAGCATTAAACATTTTCAAGTTTAAATCAATTACTTTGCTCACTCACTAAATGCAATGTTCAAATTACTCAGCGTGAATGCATACACATGTTTGTATGCTTATGTAATTTGGTGAATGCAAAGAACAAGGAAACACAATGTATTTTCAACAATTGTTAAATAATGCAACTATTTAGCACTGCATTCTTCTTTCGATGTTTCATCTGATGGTTGGATAAGCCGCATCTTATTGTTGTTGTGTGAATATCCGTATCGTGAGAAATGGAGCAATGGTTAATCCAAGGAGCTAAGAACATAATGAATGATTCTCGCCATATAACGAATGCTAAACTTATTTCCTTCACACAATTTGTCCCCTTTGCCGACAAAATGTAATTTTGACATTTAGACCACCGTTGATTACGGAGATATCGACCAATGTTCATTAATATTATTTTTCTAGTAATGTTTATATAATCTCAATTAATTAATTCTGACTATCTAAGTATATACAATTGTGACTCACAATTTGTGAGTCATAATATTTGTAGAAATTTTTCCTCTTTACTAATACATACATTAGATCTAGTTGGGTTTGGGTGTTACCATTCTTGATTATTAAATTTTGGGCTTCATATATTTATTTCATAACAATTTTCGACAAAAAAGAGGCAGTCCACCACATTTCGATATTACCAAACCAAGTATAATAGACGTACATATGTACGAGTCTGTTAATTGGAGATCATGGTCACAACATTGGTCTCTAGCCGACCTGTATACGTCTTATTACGAAATGGACTCATCAATAAAATAAACACTGGTCAAGCCGCTCATACACAAATTGCACATTTTCCATTAAATAATAATAATACAGATACGTACATAAATGGCACTTATTGAGTGGTTAAATGGTGACCGTTGATGTTTACCTGCACGCATGTCAATGTCACTCTGACATATTTATTGATAGATTGCTAAACAAATCACTGAATACCTAACCTAAGGACGAGACAATGCCTCATTGTTTGACAATTTTCTTTACTATCCAGAATCCAGGTTCTACTGGAAGTCCGAAATTTGATGATTAGTTTAAAGTCCAATTTAATAGTTATGCTGCCGTTTATCTAATTTATTTGTTTATTTACTCCAGTACGATTACTGCGTAAATTTCAATTGCACCATAAAAATTATATAATTGCAGTATTAAGCGGATAATTATTAATTTTATGTGCTCAGTTTGCATAATGTAAGGGAATCATACATGATTAAGCGATATTATATTGCAGCGAATTGTCAAAGTCGCGTGGGCAGTTTTTTGTACCTGTCTCGTAGGCTTCGAATAATATCAGATACATCAAGATAAATAAGTTATCCAATTTATCAAGGAAGACAGGAAGTTCATTATTACTTGTGTGGCATCTTGTCTTACAAGGGACACTCACGACCTGTCGTTTGAGTCCAGGGTACCGACTATGTTTTTTAGAATCTACTAGGACCCCAGATGAAGGATTCATTCTTATTTCCGTGTAAAACTTATATTTGGCGTCGTGCCGTGGCGCCAAATTCGCCAAATTTGAATGTTTTTATTTTTGAAACCGCCATAACTTTTGAAATCCTGGACGGATTTTCAAAATTTTTGGCAAAAATCATGACAAGGAGTTCAACTTTCTTATCCCATGAAATTTTTTCCAAAATTATTGCTTTTAAGTTTTCGCAAAATTTCGTAATTTTCTTAAAAATGGGGGTTCGTCGAAAAAATGCTAAAAATATTTCAAAAATTAGAAATTTTTTATTTTTATTTTTTTCTCTAAAATTTCGACTTCTACGATCATTTCAAGCATAAAATTTTGAAAATCCGACATAAACTACTAAAGTTATGAGGGTTTGAAACTGGTCGAAATTGCAAATTTTTAAGTTTAGCGCCACGCCATGGCGCCAAATATGAGTTTAACACGGAAATATGAATGGATCCTTCATCTGGGGTCCTAGTAGATTCTAAAAAACATAGTCGGTACCCTGGACTCAAACGACAGGTCGTGAGTGTCCCTTGTTAGTTGTCTTTCCTCGGCAGTATTTTCAAAAATTTCAGTACAATAGATACATACATTTGTGTTTCCAATGAAGTGCTAGAAATTATTGGCATAGTAAATCGTCTGATCTCTAACATGACCGATATGAATTCATAATTTTTAAAAATATCAAACAAAATTTATAAACACTATGAAGCGTTCAAATATTATCATGTACATTATTATGAACAGTGCATAGTTCCTTATACTTATTATTTACACGTTGCATCTCTTGACAATAACTTCCTTTAAAATTTGTGCATGCGAAACGAAAGCTGATGCAAACGAAAATCTAACAAACTTTATAAATTAGCAACGATAAATCTACTAATATTTGTACGGATTAACATTAATAAATTTTGCATACATCTTTATCTCAATCATGAAAACCAATACACGCGTCATATTATAAATATGACGCTTCAGAGATTATTTTGCTAGATTACTTTCTGTAGGATTAGCTATTAAAATTGTGATTTCATAATAATCACTTGGCCGGTCAGCACTGTTAACATCGACATCGACCACAATAGAAAGTGTCAATAGAACGTCACGGTCACCGCCTAAATAAATAGACTCGTCAGCATAATATTGACAGTTTGAATGTGCTATGTGTATGTATGGTAGTGCTAATTTGGAAAATAGTAGTTCAGTCAATGAAGACTTTACAAGTTTTAACCTTTTTGCTTACAGGAAGAGGAGCAATTTGCGGAAGTTGGAGGAATTCTATCAGAAGATGAGCTTAATGAAGTATTACCATCGTGGGTATCTGAAGGGTAAGTTTTTATCACCAAGCATAAAGGATTTGAAAAGTGACATTGATGAATTTGTATTTTTGGTCTATTTTCTCAAATAGATTTTCTCCTGGAACTCCTTTGTGGAACATAAAACTTATTCATTTGGCAGGAAATCGCACTGCCGTAGTTCTTAAAATTCATCATATCATTGGGGACGGCGTATCTTTCATGAGTCTGTTGGAAGAGTTTTGCGACAAAGGATGGTCAGTGAGATCATTTATTTTCCTCTCAATCTACTTTTAGCTGTATTTATTTTGTACTTATAAGTTTTAGTTAATGTTTAACTCAGCGTGCAAGAGAAAAATTTTATTTTTCCAAGCATACATTTTTTTGCTTCAAAAGCTTAAAAGTGTGTACAAAACATTTTAGTTAATAATTCGAGTTTAAGAGAAAAACTGGGATGAACTGTCGCACTTACAATGCATATTATTCCTAATACTTAATATGTGTAGACACAACTGTAATAATTTGCAACACAAGTCATACTACAAAGTAATTTCAACAATTTAATCTTGATTCTCAGTTGATAAGACCTTCAACTTTCAGGTCAAATTTGCAAACATCTCCAGTCAGACCATTTTCTTTTGCGCACTGGGCGTATGCGTGGTATAACTTTCCTTGGACAGCATTAAAGGCCTTTCGACTGGCGAGAATTCGTAAAGGATTTCGACCCAAAGGTATGGAATGAGGGAGAGAAGGGAGGTCGTGCCAAATTTTGAAAGCTATGCTAAGATTATTGACAGTTTGTGCATCCGCAGCAATCGGAGGTCCAGCATTTACATGCTATACAAACTTCCCAATGGAGAAACTTCGCGCAGTCCGAAGAGCACAAAAATGCATTTTCCCTACCGTTTTGGCTGGGGTTTTATCCGGAGCGTTCTACAAATTTTTTCAAAGTACTGGAAAGAAAAGTCCAGCCTCAGTCCGAATGATCATTCCAACGCCATATCCAAATCGACCTGATAAGGGGACTTGTAATCACGTGTATGTTTTTTAAGCACACAACCGTCGTATCCGATTATTTTAACAATTATCTTCAATTGCAGAGGCTGGCTACACTCAGAAATGCCACTGGGTGACCCACTCGCAATGAAAAAATTTGAAGATGGTGTACGTTACAGCTACATCAGCGGTCTGCACGGAATAATGTGGCAAATTTTTAAACCGATGTATCTACTTCCTGCACCTTCACTTTCTGGTAATCACATTTAGTCCAAATTGCATCGAGTACAAATTTTGATCAATGTTGTTAACTATTCTCACAGTGTATACTGACTGGGGGGAGAAAAATCTTCCTCCTGCCGTCCTCACCAGCATACCGGGCTCTATAACGCCGGTTTACCTTTTAGGTCAGGAAGTGGATCATTCCTACCCCACATTATCTCTAGGTTATACCACTGGGTGCGTATCGAATAATCTCACTAATCTCATAGCACAATAATGACTAATGGTTATTATTGAAATTTTCAGTTGCAACGCGTGCATGACGACTTATAATGACGGTGCATATTTGTCAATCCGCATTAGCAAAGAAATAATCTCTTCGAAGGAAATGCTGGACGTTCTGGTCAGCAAATATATGCACGAAGAGCTGGAGTTGATGTATCAAAATGTACGTTCTAGTTTTACCTTATTTTTCTACTATTATTTTTGATTGTCGAGCCGTATTTAAATATCGTTGCTTGAAATTTCAGGCGCTCAACAAGGAAAATGGCAATGCAGTGGAGCACATACAAATAAATGTGTCAAATTAGTCTGAAAAAAATCATTAGTTGACTGGGTTGTTGCATTTCATAACGTTGATATTCGTAATGCACCCATTACATACTATAAGCTTGTCACAAGCGGTGAATATGGTAAATATGTCAGATTTATCTGCAATGCATGAAAGTATTTATTACTAGCTTTATAAAATTCTCCGTGTTATAATATTGTCACAAAGTTGTTATAGTGTTCATGTTCAATGAGTGACGTTGATATCTTATATGCAAATAAAAAGAATAATTTGTTATCCAGTTGGACACTGTATTTTATTGCAAAGTTACAAATATATGTATATACTGTACATTCACAACCATTCAAAGTAACAGAATTTACAAAATGTTTTACTATTTGTTCCACCAAATTATTTAGTTGGTAAATTTTGGACATGTTCACAGGGTTATTTTTAATCCACCAGACTTTTAATTGAAATCACATAACTAAATATATTGAAATCGCATAACTTGAATTTACAGTGCTTTAATTCGATTAAATAAATGAATTTAAAAGTTATGAAAATACGTGTCTGACGGATTCAGTTATAGGGATGGTTCGAACGTATTTAAAGTACTCGAAATTCAAGTTATGGAATTTCAATATATTTAGTTATGTGATTTCAATTAAAACTCTGGTCCATTAAATGACACCCATGTTCACACTTCTGCAAACAAAATGAAATCTGTACTATGAGAATAATTCTTTAAGCTGTGAAAAGGCTAATTATCTGTACTAGTAGTGGCGTATATTTACATATATAAGAATTAAGAAATTGCATGGCGTCACTATATCTTAAACGCATCTTTGAGTTCTGACATGATATTTTCCGAAGAATTTAGTTAATATTTTATGAATTATCGTATTATATGTACGTAGCATTCTTGAAGACAAAGCCGAGTGTGAATGTTGCTCCAAAAGTTACGACTCGGCGGCGAGAGATGTCTGCTGAGGCTACGCTTTCAGGGCGATACTGTGCCTCTTACAAAATTATGAGATTTGTTTTATGTAGTTGGAAGCCACTTGCGCCTTAAAAATTACTTTACAAATTTTACAAATTGCAATGCGTAGTTGAAGGTTGAATTCATGGATATCGTTAGTTTTGTTTATTACATATTCCACGCTTCGTATCTTAAATTCAAGTCAAGTCAACCTTTATTCGAGTGTTAATGGATATCAGTTGGATATCAGATATCAGTTAAATTGTTGTCTTCATAAGTTCTTTAGTGAATAATTACATCATAAAATTTACATATCCTCTACAAAATTTGAAGCATGCCACCGTTATGCGTATATATTCCACCAATTTGATAAATCATAACGTTTATTCGAATATTCAACTTGACTGGAGCTGTATCTAGTTCGTCTAACAAAACACATACAATGAGAGAGTGGTATCGGAGTAGAAAGGGTCTTTAATTTTGTATCAAAATGCATAGATTAACTAACCTGTTATGATTTTCCAATTGCATTATTTACAGCGGAATACCCATCAGTTGTTGCATTGCAAGTCGTAAAAGGGAGCTCCGAGTGTGACACGCCGTTTCAAGACATGCAGAAATGTCACACACGATTTCCGCTTCATGAAATTTCAATCGCACAAATAATTAATAACTGAAACAGTTTGAAAAGGCAGACTGGAGGCGTGTATGACATGAGAATGACATGACATGATGACAGATCTGACTGAAATGAAATGGCTCATGGGTGCGAGCTTACGAATTTTATAGGATCACGAATGCGAGAACAATCGCGATCAACATTTCAGAACAAAACATCAACCAACCCACCAACACGGAATTGTCAATGTTCTCAATATTTTATGCGTCTGCTCCTATTCACAAGCAGAAACGCAGAGCCAATACCTTTTAAAATCTTATATACATACGTCAGTCAATCCACCTTTTTTGCTTGAAACAGAGGATATGAAAAGGCGGACGAATAATTGCACCCAAAAGTCATTTATACGTGCAACATTTAATACAATACGAACATATCTGCTGAATACCAGCCTGGAGACAGGTCTTCCTTTCACAGGTCTAAAGCTATGCGTCAGGTCTTCCTGAGTATATGGGGATGCTCAACGAATGATTAGAATGACCAGGAATGGCATGTTCAAAAATTCCCGAAATTCTTCATCTTGCACATAATTCATCTTTCAAATTCTTTGTCTTTCATGGCAGCAAAAGGGCATACGCCAACAATCTCACATCGAGATCGAGTAAATATGGTCTGCTGCTGACTCACAGGCAGTGGTCTCTCTCTCCGTCTGTCTCTGATCCTCTCGCATACCACAACTCATAAAATTTTTATCTGGGGCAAAAAATTATAGGCGCCGTATTATAGTCTAAATGCGCATGTAAATATGATACTCTTTGCCCAGTGATCAACTAGAAGTAAAAATTTGGAGACGTATATAACATTTTTTAAATCGTGATTTTTTTTAAACTGAACTCTCATCGTGCGATTATGGATGAGTACGACACGTAAATTTACATAAAATAGTACAAATTATTATCATGTTAAGTACTGCGTTATTAAGTACGTACATTTGTTTCTGATATGAGAAGGTGATTTGCAATCTGGCAATAAAAAAGAGTAATGTCAAGCAAGGACATCGACTCAATTTGCAGACGTCTGTATGTATGTACATAGACGCTTTGTGTGTAAGTTTTAGTGTGAGATAAATAAAAATCGTGTTTAACATTTTTGTGTCAGAGGATGGAAAACAAGAATGGCTGATGTACAACAACACGTTAACCAACTGTGACGACGGTGACATGTTCAGTCAGTCCTTTATTCAATGGATTCAAATGCAGGCATATAAAGTGGATGGATTCATCCATTACCCATTCTTTTCTGTGTCTCATATTGATGCCAAAAAATGTGTATGGTCGTCTCTCTCTCGCCTATTTGCGTTGTAGTACATGTGTCTACTTAAGCAATATCAGTGTTGCTGCTGCTAACACCCGTCTCCTACTTACATTGGCTATGTACATACATAAGTACGCGGATATTCTTTGTTCACCATCATGCGTTCCCATTGAATTAAATAATATGATTTGCTTGCTCAAGTTGTATATCCAGGTGCGAGATCTATTCAAACCTATTCGTCGTGTCGCATACATTTACTGCACGAAGGAGGAAGGAAGTATCGTTTCATGGCATTCGCGAGCCTTTTGCTTCCTCTCTGCAAACATTTCTTGTGTCAGTTATTATTTTTGTCAAAAACAAAATTTGACACAGGGATTTTGTCACTCGCTGGCTGAAATGTCACTCCTGATAAATAGCATTTTGTTATTTTAAGCTATTTCATGGCAGCGAAGGTAATTTCTACGGTTTTCCTAATTTCAAACCATATCTTTCCAACAGGATCAATCGAGTATAAGCTTCAAACGTATGTATTTATGTATGTATGAATGCTTTTTATGCCCATTTCACACTGATAAAATCAGAGATTAATTGAATTTATAAAAATTTTGGGATCTGGATGTTAAATATTGAAACGTTACATCAATTAAGGAAGTGTAATCCATTTACGGAGATTATATGGAAGTAAAAGCTTTTGTTCAGAATGTTAAACTAAGAAAAATCTATAGTATTCAGCTGATCTTATTAACTGAGACCCTTTGGTGTTTATAATTTTAAAAGAAAAATTGGACACGGTGGATTGTTGAACGAGTAAATGTTTTTACTACTACTACAGCCTAGTACGTACGTAGGTACACGCCATCCGCCACACCGTATAAAATTCACCGTTACGAAAGAACAATGGTATGCAAACATTTAACCGTGAAAATCTCAAAGGAGTTCTTGTCCACAGGTAACAACAGTAGTGCGACATGTCCCACCAAAAAGCCAAACAGTATCCTCTGAATTCGATACTTGGAATGTAAACATACAAATCAACATAATATCTAATGGTTTCCTTCCTAAAGGTCTGCTTTTAAGGCCTGCAACGGGCTACACGTATGGGAAAATATGGTTCAATGTGTGACAGATTTCCCTGCTAAGGGCACTATTCACTATGGACCCATTTTCTTCAATTACATTATACACACCAAGGAAGAAGAATATCTCTCCCTCTCTTTCGGGGTAGGGTCCCTTAGACGCAGCGTGGATGGATTGCAGTCAGATGTGACAAATGAGGTAATCAGATTATGACGGTTAGGAAAGCCAGTGCAAACAAGGAGGTTTGCCACACACGATTTTCCGTAGCTAATGCCTGCACCTGACTGCTCACATCAATGTCACCTTTAATCCATTCAGCCTACTCTTGACAACAATAATAGTGAGCATAATAATGTCGCATAGTTTCTCCACCTCCCCCACTCACAGGACGTCAGGCACCTTAATAAAGGGATTCAGAGGGATGGAGATGGTGGTAGCAGCAGCAGCCGCAGGAGCAGAAAAGAACACAAAGATCCGGACTGCCCCAAGTGTTGGAAGGGAATTAGTTAATACCTTCAACAATCTCATAACAATGATTCACTTAAATCAACCACGCTGCTCCTTTCTGTGCTCGTCTTTTGCTCTGAAACTGTTTTGTGTGATGCCAAAACTGCTTCCTTCGTGGTTATCAACAACCATTGTACGCCCAGACCAAGACTAAAAGAATGAAGGACCACCAAAATCTCGTCCATTGACGAATTGGTAATCTGAAAATGTGGATTGCCATTTGAATGTGATAATTCCCGTATAAACCCACTGCTTAACTTTTTTTCTTTACTTGTCAATGTCAGCAAATCAGGGATACAGAAATAAATACAAACTATTTATACGTGAACAAATACGGGATTACTTGTTTTCAATAGCGATAATCTCACTACTCGCATTATTCCGAATAATAAATCCTGCTCCCGTTTACGATTTATACTTATATCTAACATACATTTATATAAGAATTGCAGGAAGAAGTTTTCGAAAAGCATCGACTATTTCGCATCCTGTAAAACGAGGGAAAATTGAGAAATTTTAATAAGAAGCAGGAAACATTTGTCGAGCTAGGCCAGCATAAAAGTCTTACTTACTTTCATACAAAATACAAAACGCAATGTTAAATTGTGCCATAAAGATTTGGCACAATTGGCGTTTAAACAGACTCAATTTTTTTTGCTCTTGTTAACCAAAATTCATACATTTTGAACATTGTATGAAGACGGCCATTGAGCAGTTTTCTTTTCTCGCTGTCAGCAAAATACAAGATTTAGAGATTTCCAGGGCGAACAAGGTGAAAAACGCTGTCAAAGTTAACAAGAGATGGGATGGACGAGTACACGGTGAGGTGGTAGCAGTTTGATTCTTTACCACAGGCCCCGTCCCCAAAATTGTTCGCTTTTGTTGGCGAGCAAGTTGGGTAAGATCATGGGAACGAAAAGTGAAAAGATTTATCATATGAATTGAGAGGTTGAGCTACTTAGCTGGTATTTTCCAAATATTGACACTAAAATGCCGAGGTGTGAGGTCAATTCCATGGTTATTACTGCCCAGCGTCCATAATGGGTTCGTATTTAAGATGGGACGGATGACGGAGGAGAAAGGGACAATGGTCGTACATAAAAGAGGAAGGAATTTCAGCCCGGACAAAAGCAAAGCACACGGAGAATTCGAGAAAGTCAACTTGGTATTTGTGTCTGGATGAAGTCGTTGGTTTCCTTCCCTTGTTTGCGGACACTGGGACAACCTCAGCGGGGCACTTCCGAAGGGCGACCGTGAGAATTCAGATTTGACTGACTCGACAACTTGGCCACGTGGTCCACCAACTATTTTCTCATTATCAAAGGCAACCACAGTCAGCTAAATTTCTATCCGATTGACCAATTGAGATTCCAATTCTTGCCTCCTCGTATTCGTCCTCGTATGAGCATCATTGTCTAATTGTTGAGAAAAACTGTATTGAAAAATCGACATTTCCCTTCAGCCTGACTTCCATCTAAAATATTTAATTTTACGATATATTTTTCCACCAAATCTTGTCGGATTACTAAATCTCTAAACTCACGGATTCCATCTTATAAGCTGACTTGAAAAAAAAATCTTGATGTTAATCCCAAATCCTACTCCAGTTGAACAAAAGTATGAATCCGTGGGTTTCGTGGTACACACAAGCAGTTGTAAAATTTTGATATTTTCTTTCAGTCCAATGTTTGAGGATCGTTTTTAACACTTGTGTTCATTCATTCATCATGCATCATCACCCAGCTATGCTTTTTAGTATTTGTATTTGACCTCTCATTTATAGCGATACGACGGCCTTTGGATTGAATTATGTCTATACTGGCATTGCAGTTGATGCACATATCAGTAATCTGTGCTGAGCATTCAAGAAAAGTTTCCAAGAAATTTGAAAAACGGAACTTAAATTTTCAAAATGTATTCAAAAGTAAAATTGGAAACTGCTTCATATTTATATAGAGAATTCTCAAATATATAAATGTGTGACCACATATTTCAAGTTTATGTACATGTGCCTTAAACAACACGATATTGTTATGGTGCGTCGTGTGAGATAAATCAAGAAAGCTGGTGAGTGGATGTGAACGGATCGATAAATCTGTGAATACCAATTGTCAACAACTGCATAATGATTGCTAACTATCTGTGTGGAACATTGTAGTCTGATGATCTGACGAGAAAGGCAGTTGACATGCCACATTCAATATTCAATCTCATCAAACACTTTGTAGATGAAACATTTGCTTAACTAACCATAATATTTGGCTTTGCTCCCCATACAATATGCTCTGGGTCCCAATTAGGTGGGCCCATCTTGATATCTCTTATCCACG